CTAGGTCATTTTGAATTTTTTTTCTGCTAATATACTTCAAAAAATTATCTACTTTGTCGAGCAAAAAAAAAATTTCGAATACAATTTCTTGGCCTACTACGATCCCAAATACTTCAGCAAAATTGAAGAAAACGGATTATATTTCAAGAAAAATTTTGAGAATGGCAATCGTTACTATTTTTGAATAATTGCATTTTTCAAGCGACTGTGGATAATTATTCTTATAAGATGTTTTTAATGATACCAGTCAGGATTACATCATCTGTTACAGAGTGAGATAAATAACGAATAAAATCACTAGCAATTTTAAATTTCTATCAAGAAAAATATATAAAGTAGTAGAAACAACTAAATAATACCAATCAAAATATTCTCGAATCTTGATCAAATCTCCTTCATTATCCATACACTTTTCATATCTTTTTCGCGCGTTATTTTCAACTCTCCTTATTTCTTCTGGTGGTATCTCTCTGCAAACTGTTATTATTCTTCGTTCCCAACTCTACACTATTTCTTGGTCTGAATTTCTCACTCTGTAGCCAGATTCTGATGATCTAATCCTGACTACCATCATGAACTAGAAAAATGCAATTATTCAAAAATTGTAACGTCAATGAAAAAAGTGATATTATTTTGAAAATTTTATAGGAGTACTTGTGACTAGTCCGAATCGATTGCCATTATAAAACGTTTTGAAAAAAAAATGCCTTATCCGTTTCATTAAATTTTGCTGGGGTTTTTGTGATCGCAGTAGGCTAAGAAATTGTGATTGATATTTTTTTGCTCAAAAAATTTGATAATTTTGAGTAGTATATTATGATGAAAAAAATCCTAAATCTTCCTAGGAATACGAATGTACAGGGGTGGGGTGGAGCAGATTGTAACACACTGTATATGTTGACAACAAAACACTTGAACACCTAAAGAACAATATACAGTGAGTGAGATTTCAACCCCCAACATTTTGCTAATTTGGAATACGACGACCGATTTTCAGAAAAAAGAGGGTCAATATCCCACCAGATTCAAAAATGCTCTGGTCTCCCCAATTTTCAAAAAATCAGATCCGCATAATTTAGAAAATTATCGGCCAATCACAGTGCCACCCGTACTCTCAAAAATTTTTGAATATTCTATGCTTTCTCAACTTCTGAACTTTTTAAACGTAAACAACATACTGCATCCCGATCAACATGGTTTCCGTGCAGGACATTCAACTATCAGTGCTATCCATTCTTTCTATGGAAATATTCTAAAATCTATTGAATCTGGGCAAAATCCAACAGGAGTGTTCTGCGATCTCAGTCGAGCCTTCGATTGTGTGATACATGAAAAATTGCTTGATAAACTTCATTTGAATGGAATAAGAGGAAAACCTTATGAATGGTTCAGTTCCTTCCTTGAAGGAAGAATCCAGCGGGTTAAAATCTATCACACCAGCGATAATGAAACAATAACTCATATGTCAAGTCCACAACAAAACAACATTGGTGTTCCTCAAGGGTCCGTCCTAGCACCAATACTTTTCATTATCTATATAAATGAACTGCCAACTGTTCTGCCAGGAGCCTTCACATGTTTGTATGCTGATGATGATACCCTGCTCTTCTCTGATGAATCCCCACTTGAACTCCAAAATAAAATAAACAACACAACTGATGCCCTACATAGTTGGCTGAGCAACAACTCACTATTTCTAAACACATCAAAAACAAGTTTTACTACTTTCCATACCAGACAAAACACCAATCTACCTCTCTTAGACGTAAACATCTGTGGCACACCTCTTGAACACAGTACATCCTCCAAATTCTTAGGTATTATAATTGACAATGATCTCTGCTTCAAATCACATTGCAAAAATCTAACTAGCGCTCTACACTCCAAATGTTTTCAAATCAGAATCTTGAAAAGTGTTCTAGACACACCTAGTTTACTCCTGTTTTATCATGCCCAGGTTCAATCAAGAATCTGCTACGCAATCACAATATGGGGAAACTCTTCAGCAGCGAAAGATGTATTCATCGCACAAAAGCGAATAATACGTTCTCTTGCAAACGTCTCCCAGCAGACTTCATGTCGAGATATTTTCAAGAAGCTTGAAATTCTCCCACTTCCTGGTCTTCATATTTTAGAAGTTTTAACATACATCCACGCGAATAAAAATTTATTTTCCACGAATAATCAACACCACAATTACAACACGAGGAAAAAAACGACTTCCATTTACCAAATCCACATCTCACCGTCTGCCAAACATCACTAAACGTGATAGGATTGAGATTATACAATGTACTTCCCAGTGAGCTCAAAGCAATTGAACAAGTGCATATATTCAGAAAAAAAACCAAACGTTTTTCACTGGGTATTACTCCATACAATCTTGACGAATACTTTGAACATTTTTGATGTATGATTTTCAATAATTTTATTTTATTGTTATGAAGAATATTTTACCTGAAATTTATCATCGATAATTATTATTGTTCAGATATTTTCTCCTTTTCTTTTAATCTACATTCCTATTGTTTGTCAACTTTTAAGAAACATTCTATTTATACATGTACTTTGTGCTGACCTGTCTATAGCTTTATAAGCTCGTATCTATCTATCTATCTATCTAAACAAAAATTCGAGTTCTTTTCGAAAATGTGGACGAATCTGAAATAGTGAAATTTCGAAAGGATTGAAAATTTCAAAAAAGATTATTAGTATTTTTCAAAAGAAAAAGTGGGTACCTATAGTCTAATCTTACAAGAACACCCTGTAAAGCTTCTGGACCACATGGCAACATGTGAAGAAGCGCGGAGCAAAACTGCTGAAATTCGAATAGATGTAACGTAATGAGATGGAAATTGGACCAGAAACGGCGGTAAATTACCGACAGCAGCCTACTTTAATTAAACTGATAATTAAAAAAGATCTTATCTAATTACTCCAGCGATATAACTGGTCCCGAACGGCGGAGTTTGTCGCGAAGTAAATTGGCATAGTAAGCGAACGAAATAGAGACAAGTAGATGATCGAAATGAATGGAAAATTATTGAAATATACAGGCTGATTCACGGTGGAAGCTCAGATAAACGTTTCTGGAGAACGTAATTTGGGATTATTCTGAAAATATCATGCCAAACATTTTCGATCAATTTAAAGCCTGTAGTTCGTATTGTTACGATTATGTCGAGTTCATTCTATGTCAATGAATAAAAATCATTTCTCAAAAGTTTACCATATAATATTAAGTAGGTATACTTGCAAATTCGAAATTTACAAAAACACATGTTGTTACTATACGTTAGTTCTTACATTTCATCACAAGCAACCATCGTTTTCAACTAAATCATCTTAGTGTTGTTGATTTTCTTACCGAATACCACTTTATCTTCAATTATTTCCGGAAATTTTTCGTGATATTATAAGTGAAAATTTGATGCCTTGGATAATTAGTTGTGCTCTATCGATCCAAAATATTCTCAGCGCTGCGACGTTGCCGCTTATATTGAAGAGTAGCAACAACTTTGATTTTTATATGGGACACCCTGTATATTATTCCATTTTCAGATTCTTCTTAAAAAGCTGAATTCATCGATCTATCACACTTGGGGTCTAGCGGGAATGATAACAAAGAAATAGGGTCTACTTCTCAATATAAGCGGCAACGTCGCATTCAATAACTATTAATCAACTATATTTTAACACCAACCCGAATTTTTTAACTCAAACGGTTGCGAAAAAATGGTGTTGGGCCATCTTAATCTGAAGCTAGCATAACCGTTTCACAATTTTCCACCCAAATAAGTTATGGTCATGATTCAAACGCTTCAATGTTCAACTTTTTAATAACTTTCGGATGGTGTATCGATAATGGGCGTGTACACCTTATTAGAACTTTTAACTAAAATCATGTTTATAATGATCCTTTTATACATAAATAATGATTGACGACATATTTCGATCAAAAAATTAACTGGAATGTTTTATTTTTGGACATAAATAATAGTACCTTCTGGAAACGGACCCTCTTATGACGTAGAAACCTCATCTCGCCATAGTTAAAAGAAAATACCAAACGCCCGACGGAGACTGAGGCAACTGATATATTAATTATTTCAACTGTGATCTTGCGCTAATTCACTCTGTCAAAAATCATGTATCATTCATCTCTGTCTGGAATAGTCTTGTTTCAGTTTTAGGGTTTTTTACGTCACATCATCGCCTCGTTTTCAGAGGTCCGAAAAATCGGGGATTTCAATAATTTTTTATAAAACGTAGGGAGCTCACAGCAAGAAACGGTTTGCGGTGGTGAGCTAGTCTGGTTGAGTTCTATCAAATTATGAAATAAAATTTTACGAATTTAATACCTGAAATGCATGTAAATTTTCTCATGTGATTCTCAATCGAATTGTTTTGGCAACAATCAACAGATTATGGTAGAAGATATCATAAATATTTTCCGAAAATAGTACAGTTGTGATGGGAAACATTCAAAAGAAAATGTATTATAAGGACAGAAAATCGCAATATGATGACTAACGAGTGCTTTCATTGATCTACTATTCAATAACTCCAGCACAATCAGTTGAAATCGAAAGAATGAGGATTCAGATGATATATTTTTCAAGAACAGTATAGTTCTGATGAAAAGTTTCCGGAAGAAAATTTATTATAAGGACAGAAAATGGCAATATGATGACTATAACGGGTGTTTTCATTGATCTACTATTTGATAACTAGAGCACAATCAGTTGAAATTCTTTTGAAGTAATAAAATATCTGATGTCACTTCTGTCAGTCTAATTCTGTGATTTGATTTCAAAAAATTGCGAATTTAGTGGTTGTTTAGTAATGTATGTAACCGCGAAGTCGAATGGAGCTAAAATTTACTACTTTTTTCCCTTGTATAATAAATATAACTATTCTTGTATGTATATCTATTATGTTCTTCCAGTGATGCCACAAAATAGTCGAAACACCGACTAATGTCTCTCTTCTTGTTCCAGAATCCGGAGCGGAACCGCCATCGACCGCCAGGCCGACCATATCCGTACCCGCTGGACCTGTCGGCGCAGTCTCGGTGGCGAACGCGCAGGGGGTGCGCGAATGCGCGGGTTGCGGCAAGCGCATCGTCGACAGGTAGGCTGGCGAAAATATCGCTTCTTCTGCAACCGACACAAAAATCGTCCATTTGAATACCAAAATTAGCTCTTGATTGAGGTTCATATTGCTGACACAAACATAGGTATGTTGCTTGACAACACTTTTAGTTCCTCTGTGCTGAAGTTTTTTTTTAATGTTCTGATGGTTCCCACGAAAAGGGATATCCTGTAATGTTCAGAGAACATCGTGAGAACCAAGGAAAATAAGGTAGGAATTGGTGTTCTTCCTAAATTTCTGGAGGTTATATGCCTCGGGGAACACCTCCCTTGGCAATGTGTTCCAGAGCCACACTGTTCGTTGGATGAACGAGTCTTTGGAGAGAGATGTTCTGCAGGTCTCCAAAGTGACCACGAAGGGGTGCGAAGCCTCAACTCGACGGGTTAATCTCACGGGGACTGTCAATGGAGGTACAATTGTTGATATTTCAGAAGAGCATCGTCCATGAAAATATCTATAAAATAGAGCCAGATCGCCACCTTTTCTACGGTGTTCCAGAGAAGTGAGTGAGTTTGTGAGTGAGGCATCACCCACGAGACGAATTGCCCTTTCTTGGACAGAATCCAACAGTTTCAGGGTATATGTTTGGGTGCCGCACTCCAAATATGCTCACAGTATTCCAGGACAGGTCGGATCTGTGCCTTATAGATCATAAGCAGCTGACTGGAAGTGAAATAGCTCCTGGCCCGAAACAAAAAACTAAGTTTTTGGGATGCACTTTTAGCAATTGAGCAAGAAAGTTATTGCTGATAGTAATACCAAGCATCGAAATGGGTGTCTTCAAAGGTATGGTTACTCCTGACATCCTTCTGTTTGGCACAGTGAGATCGGCTTTTCTAGAGAAAAGGCATGCCTGTGTTTTGTTTGCATTGAAGTCTACCAAGTTATTGGATCCCCATTCGAGAATTGTTCCCAAGTCCATATTCATGTTGCCAACATTTCTTCCTCGTTCGTTTCTGATTTGCCTGGCTGGTATTGGAGCCCTGGAAGAGAAGGCGGTATGGAGGGTACTATCATCCGCGAAGCTATGTACTGGACATGAAGTTGCTTTCAATTAACAAACCGTTGATATGGAGTAGAAATAGTGTTGGTACAAGAATTGATCCTTGCGGAACACCAGCATTTATGGTAAGAGAGTCAGATGAAACTCCGTCGACCACTACATGGAGAGACCTGTTTGAGAGAAAACTAGCTAACAGAGAACATAGCTGGGGAGGGAAGTCATAAGATGGAAGCTTGGCGAGGACTCCGTGGTGCCAGACTCGATCGAATGCTTTGGAGATATCAAGTGCGACGGCTGAGGTTTCATCATATTTTTCGATAGATTGCTGCCATATATGTGAGACGTAAACGAGCAGTCACCAGTTGATCTCTGATGACGGAAGCCATATTGCCTTTGATAATACCTGAATGTTCCAGTTATTTCATGAGCTCGAAGTTGATAGCTTTCTCCATTATCTTTGAAATAATAGGTAGCAGTGCGATCGGTCTGTAGTTGCTAGGTAGGGTCTTTTTGCCTTTTTTAGGAACTGGTTGTACTCTCTCAATTTTCCAGTTGGACGGGGAATATCCCCAATGTTGTTGAACTCTTCACTCAAACTGCCAGTTCCAAAATGAAATCCAAGTAAAATGTTTAGTTGAAAATTAAAATACAAAGGCATACTATTTGCTTGAGCCCAAAATTTAATCACGGTCAGGTATAGTTGCATTTGAATAGATGATTTTCCTTGTTTTCAAAAATGCTGTGCCTTTAAGAAGAAGGTGTAAATGTTTGTGATATACGAGGTGTTTCTCAAAAGTGGTTCACCCCTATAACTTTTTTGTTTTTATGAATAAACAAATGAAATTTGGTTTGAGAGTATAGTTCATGAATATGCATTATTTGACGTCAATTGTTTTTTGTCACTTCCTGTTTGACCAGAAATGAGTCATATTTTCTTTTTTCAAATGATAGAGAATAAAATTGTGAGTACATTTACAACCCAATTGCCACGACTTGTTGACATTTATCATCCTGAAATTTTCATTTTTGTATTTTCAATCTAGAGTGATTATGATACTGGATATTGATTCAAAATATCGATTATGTGGTATCAACAGATTCGTAACAAAATACTCTTTTCAGATATGGTGATGAGCCACCTTGTTCTATTTGAAAAAATCGAATTAACATCATAATTACAATATTGTAAATTTTGAATGAACCTGTGAAACAAATGAAAATAAAACTTCATCGAAAACAATTTTTTCTTAGGCAACATGATTCGAAATCGAATGTTTTAACTCATTCATGGCACTCTAGATTGAAAATTGAAAAATGAAAATTTCAGGATGATAAATTTCAAAAAGTGGCAAATGGGTTGTCATTGTTCTCACAATTTCATTTTCTATGGAAATATGTGAAAATATACCGGGTGTCCCATTAAATATGAAAATGTGGCTCATTTTCGGTCTAACCGGAAGTGACCGAAAACAATTGAATACGTCTAATAATGCATATTATTCATGTACTATACTCACACACCAGATTTCAATTGTTTATCTGGATATACAAAAAAGTTATAGGAGTTAGCCACTTTTGAAATACATCCGGTATACAAAAACATGATCTACGGAAAAAACGGCTTACCGTTTGCGTATGTCCAAGTAGGTACACCTAACCTCGAAAATATGATTTAATACATGAAGAATCCGTGAGGATTTTTTCATGAATCTTTTATTAACATCAAAATATACAAATAATGATATATACCCTCCAAAAGGCATTCTGGGTGAAATCACGTCTGGAAATATGTCCCCGGTCTATATGAATGACTCATATAACGGGGGATAAAATTTTATCAAAATTTCATGATATTCTCAAGGAAACTTTTCTGATTCTATTCGCATGTTGATAGATTATTTGTAGGGCAAAAGAAATTTCGGAATTGGAAATTGCTAGATGAAATATTTCTAATATGTTTGTAAGCGAGTTTGTAAGTTACAAGCAAGTGGCATATTATACAATTGTCAAGATTTTTCAAAATCGTATCTCTTGTTTCTATAAAATAAAAATATTTGTGCTCTTTCAATAAACATGTAAGTAGTGAGGAAAAATCAGATGAATTGCCCCAAAATTTCACTCTGTAAAAATTTTATTATTAAGAGAGCTTGAGAACAAAATTCAATTGTTTTGAAAAATATTTGAAAAAGAGAGAAAATCACAGAAACCTTGAAGAAGGAAATATATTAATTTGGAAATAATCATTTGGAATTTGCAACCCTTACAATCACCTTATTTACAGATTCCTGCTCAAAGCTCTCGACATGTTCTGGCACGAGGACTGCCTCAAGTGCGGCTGTTGCGACTGTCGACTGGGCGAAGTGGGCTCCACCCTGTACACCAAGGCCAACCTGATCCTTTGCAAAAGGGACTACCTTAGGTGAGAGAGCCCGTTCACAAAATCTTTCATGCTATAACAATACCTACCTATTTTTAATAAACGTGACAACAGCGCAGAAATGTTATAATTCTTGTAATGTTCTGAAAATGGTGATGACTTACTCTGATAGTAGTAGAAGTGTAGTAAACTCAAGAAAAATCGGACAATCTTTTTATTGGGAGATATTGCAAATACCTCCCAATTTTTTTAAACTATTTTTCACTGTCGCTCTATAGAATAAAAAACTGCTTCTGACCAAGAATGTCTATTAAAAATTATCTGTGTTATTATATCGAAGAATATGTCTGTTGATTTGTTATCAATATCTATGTCACTATACTGTGAATGATGAAGAGAGTTGGACCTGAAACAGTTCCTTGAGGAACATCAGAAATGCAATGTGTATTGAAGCTGAATGCGATGGATTGTTATTCTGATGAGAATGTCTCACACAATGGGCGTGTACACCTTAGTAGAACTTTTAACTCAAACCGTGTTTATAATTATCCTTTTATACATAAATAATGATTGACGACATAATTCGATCGAAAAATTAACTGGAATATTTTATTTTTGGGCATAAATAATAGTACGTTTTGAAAACGGACCCTCATGACGTGGAAACCCCATCTCGCCATACTTAGTTAAAAGAAAATACCAAGCGCCCGACGGAGACTGAGGCAACTGATATATTAATTCTTTCAACTGTGATCTCGCGCTAATTCAATCAGTCAGAAATCATGTATCATCCATCTCTGTCTGGAATAGTCTTGTTTCAGTATTAGGGTTTTGACGTCACATCATCGCCTCGTTTTCAGAGGTCCGAAAAATCGGGGATTTCAATAATTTTTTATGAAACGTAGGGAGCTCACAGCACGAAACGGTTTGCGGTGGTGAGCTAGTTTGGGTGAGTTCTATCGAATTATGAAATGCACATTTTTTGTGATATAAACCCATCATTGCATCCATGTCACAAATTTTCAGTTTTCTTTCACGAGTAGAACATACAGTATATATCAGTAATTACGAACCATGGGGGTTTCATAAACATTAAGTCAATCAAATCATAAGTTGACATTGAACTATGAATACTGACCAAGGAATTCTCATGAGAAATGTGCAATTCTAATAAAATGATGTATATAAAAGATGGATGTAAGGGTTCCGAAGTTAGTCTGGTCTGGGGCTACTCCTGACTTGACAAGAACTCGTCGTAATGGCAATTATAATGTAAAGTTGTTATTCGGTCTTTAATATCCATTGTAATTCCACTATATACATCAGTTTACCCATAATGTTTCGTGTCATAATAAATATTGTTATGTTTGATTATAGTCTCGTACTTTCAGTTACCCCTAAACTATTAGTGCCTATTCGAATATTACCTCTCGCCAGCCAAGCTAACCCCTTATAAATCGATATGGATGGACTAACCATCTATTTAATCTAATCTAATAGAAATAAAGTCATAGGAATTGCCTTTCAAATCAATTATGGAAATTATAGGTATTGAAAATCTTTTTTTTTTTCTATTTGTAATATTTTTTGCAGGTTATTCGGTACAACAGGGTACTGCGCGGCATGTAATAAAGTAATACCCGCTTTTGAAATGGTTATGAGGGCGAAAAACAACGTCTACCATCTAGAGTGCTTCGCTTGTCAACAATGCAATCACAGGTTAGTACGAAAAGTTCATTTATAGTTTCCGAAAATTATAATGAAGATTTTCTAAAGAAAACTAAAATGACCTGTAGGTATCCTCAACGAAGATGATAGAAATGATTTTGTTTTAGGTTTTGTGTTGGCGACAGATTCTACCTATGCGAAAACAAAATTTTATGTGAATACGACTATGAAGAAAGATTAGTTTTTGCAAATATGGCCTACAATCCTAGCAGTTTAGCCCATATAAGAAGGCAAGTCAGTAACTTACAGGTATGATTTCATTGATATAGGTTCATGACTCCTTGATATATTTTATGAATAGGAATTCACGGGAATTCATATGACCAAGATAAAAATCGGATAGAAAGTTGACACTGTATGTATCATAGCAATGTTCAAGGTCTAAAAGTAATAAGGTAACATCAAATTTCAACATTGATGAATCATTGAAATCAACTACAGTAAAACTTGAAACGTTTTGTCAGATTATTGGCCCTGAACCTTCTAATACGTTAGAGTGCATGTAAAAATCCTGATACATTACTTTGGACCAAAAGGAATATATAGCAGGCAATTTTTTGGAAAATATTCAAAGTTGTCAATTCTCAAGATATAGTCGCATATGGAGGCGACATGAAATGAAGAAAATCGAAAAAAATAATTGAGTTTTGCCAGTTAAAAAAATACCTGATATCAAGTATAATAGTTATTTATTAGTAGTAGTTTTTAGCTCCAGGTTGAGTTCTCAAAAAACCGTGAGCTGAAATCTAATATTTTTCCCGTGTATAATACATTATTTTTTTCTGTGACAGGAAGATGGACGAACCAATATTGAGAAGATATTACATCATATGAAAATCAGAAAATTATCGACGTGAAATTTGAAGTTTTGAACAGAAATGACACATGCGTTGCAGGAATCTTTATCATTCTTTTGTAGCAATCAAATATCTTTTCAGTCTAATTATGTGATTTTGATTTTCAAAAATTTCGAATTTAGTGGTTGTTTAGTAATTAACCTAACCAAGAAGTCGCAAGGAAGATAATGCCTTGTAGTTCTTTCTCGGAGACGGTGTTATTGGCTTATTTTTCGGAACTATAGCACAACAAAGGCCATCATACAGGGTATATATATGTGATATATATCCGGGAAACTACTTTTTTCTCGTTTGAAAGAAGTAATTTATGGAAAGGGATATTTTATAACCTGTTTCAGATTATTGTCAATGGTTTTCACGGGAATTCCAAAGCGTTCTGACATTGCCATCAGGCTTCCATCTTCTCTGCTGTAAGCTGTAACAGCCAAATGCAGAGACTCCTGACTATAATTCTGATAGTTCCGCGTCCCAGGTTTTTTTTGGAAGCTCGAACCATATTTCAAGTCGCCCCAGAAATGTAAAAAAAAATTAAATGGTACACCACTGGATGAAGACAAAATAACGCAAATCTCTGGTTAGAATACTGCTGATTAATAGGATTGAAAAATTTAAAAGAGAATTCAAGAAACATCTACTCCTGTGATATTGACATCTTATTATCTCATTTTTATAGTTTTCTTGTACAACTACTATAGTTTTCAATTGTGTACCTTACAGCTGAGTCAATTGAGGATCATTTTCATTTGAACTTGAAAAAAAAAAGATCCTTTTTGAGTGTGAGTCTTATTTTACTTGTAGCATGTAAATTTTCATTACTGTATATTTTGTCTGATTCTATAATATTCTGTAATGCTGAGCACATCTGACAGAATATTTTGTCACAATAACATGGTTAACATTTTTCAATTACATAAATTGAACTCAATCTGCTTCATATTATTTAATTATTCTCAAACCTGATATGTGGATACACACCTGAGATTTCACTCTGTACATAAAATAAAAATACAATTTCTATAAATACACTGATATCTCTTGCTATATCTGCTTTGTTGTGATCCAAGTAGAAGGATGATTCAGATGGTTTTTACAGGAAACTTATCTGAAAGAGATAAATAATATAAAGTGATATGAAATACCATTTCAGAGACATTGTCATACTCACTTTTCACACTGCTATTTCCACTTGAAACTTCATCACAGTAGGACAATAGGTATTGGATTTTCCAGGAACGCTGATGCGTATGGTTTCACTAGGAATCGACCATGGTGAATCAATTAACTTCGTTTGGCATTATTTTCTTGATTGATGCATTTGATAAATTCAGGTTGATGTTTTGATCTTGTTGATCTGTTATTTCGCTTTACGTCAATTAGCTATCGGTCATGACACCATGTCAACAGTGTCAAACTTGTCATGCGCCAAACGCCGATTCGGATTGATATGTCCTTAGATCATCATCGTCGAACCAACAAGACGAGTATTTGTGAAGAAAGGTGTGACGTCATTTTAGTCATCAATTCTGATTGGTTCAGATAGTCATCTGGGAAGAATCAAGTCTCTGGAGGGAGTAGCGATAACGTCTTTTATTTTGGATATTCAAATTTTCCGCCAATTTGAAAAACGGAAACCGTTAAGTTGTTCTCGAAGTTTCTGGAAATTTGGAGAAGGGATTTCCTTTCTGGTCGTGAGACGAGAGCTCACTTCAGAAAATTTTTCGTGGTGGTCAAGTGCCATTTTTGTGGTGTGAACCGGCTTCTGAAGTCCTGTACCGCCTGGCGTTCTGGATCACATCAGGATATCCTGGATTTGCTGCTGATCTACAAGGACTGCTGGACTCTACAGATTTCTTCTGGTTTTGGTTTAAGAGGCAGGATCTTCATGGTTCATCACCCAGGCAGCCACGTGCCTACCTTCATCGTCATTTCAATCCCTAACCCTTCATAGAAGGTGAGTCTCGCTTTATTTCCACGATTTTTCTCTCTGCAGTCCAGAAATTCAGAACCTCATTTTCATGAAATATTTAAGGGTTTTTTCACCGGGAGTTTTCTACCGGGAGTTTTTTACCGGGAGTTCTACAACGGGAGTTATCCTACCAGGAGCACTATTCTTCCCAGGAGTCATTGCTCGACCAGGATCTGTTAATTCTACAAGGCCTTTGGTGGCTATATATAGTAGTCTGGAATCTGGATATCGTCCCCTGTTTGTTCCTGATATGATGGATTTTCAAGGTGGAAATACGACAACTCTGTCAATGTCATCTGACATCCAGGGATGTGAAGTCAGCACCCCGCTCTCCGCCAATCTTCCCCTCAGAAGCTTCATTTGGTGGCACTGAAGCCATTTTTATCAAGGATAACGGGTGTAGGACACACCATACAGGTTTTTGACATAAAATATATTTTTATTTTTCATTTTTATTCACTCATAATGCCCATTGCTAGTGTGTATAATGGACCATTTTTAAATCATAGCCAGGTCATAAATTGATGAAATCACACATGAAAGGTATATACTTCCCCTCCACATAGTATACTATGCGCTGGTAGAATTCCTCCACATTTAATATTTTTTTAAAATCTGCTATGAATATAAAACGTCCTTACAGGAGCTCTTGATTTTTCAAGTACAATATAAAGTTGATTTATATTATATATTTTCATCCACATAGTAGCAGGCAACAGTGTAGTTTCTGAACAGGAAATAGGTATCTAATATTTTTTTGATTATGCATATTTGTCAAAACCTGTGATGTGATATATGGTCCTATCATCATAATTAAATGTTTTGGGTATTGTATATGACTGTTTTATTTGTTTATTGACATGACACTCCAACTCACAACATCTCTATAAGGTAAATTTAGGTCTTTCAGTCTGGGATAACAACTAATATTATTCATTATCTGGTTGCTCAACTTTCCAGGTAACTTTTCTTTTGAATTAAAAGTTGCAGTGGCGCCCCATCTTTTTTGTTTAACCTTATGATTGCTAGATAACTGAAATTTTGCTATTTTAACTCATTTTGATAACTCGAACCCATAGTGCCTACTGACGAAGAGCTGCCGTTCGCAATTGCACCTATTTTTCATAAAAGTAGGGCTGCATACTGTCTTCTTTATTTTATTTTGTCAAATATATTTATGTATTCACTATGTTCCCTGCTATAAACAAATGTTGTTTCTTGGGAATAATAAAGTTGATTGATTGATTGAAGTATATTGGCAATCAAAAAAAAATATACATATTTCCAAAAATATTCTCGTCCGTTGACATCCACCTAACTGAAAGTAGTTACAGAACGAAAACAAATGTTTGTTCATACCTTTTTAACGATTTTTTTGTCACGTGAACCTTAAGCATCACAGGGGTGCGATCGGCTGAAATAGATTCTTCCTATACATATACAAAAAATGTCTAGCTTTTACTGTTGAGAAAAAATCGACCCCTAATTCCAAGTCGCCCCATTTTACGGTATATGAAATTTCGAAACAATTCAAAAAGATTCCAATAGCACGTATTATTATGCGAATACTCGAAATTTTCCTAGTCATGCTGCATTCCCATGTTGTGACACCCTGTATTATAGTATTCTCTGTAATGGATTTTAAGAGTATGTATAAATCAGGAGTTTTATGAAAAAAATAAGCCATTGTGGAGATGAATGCGAATCATTAAACGCTTTTGAGTAAATGGACTTGAAGCGTTGTTTTCAGTTTGGGTAAAGTGGTTTGTTTGAAAGCTAAAAGCTGCTGAATGGAGTGCTCATGCTCTGGGTCGGCTCTGCCCTAATATACTTTCTTTAAAACGTTTTGGCAGAGAATAATTCGTTTTATTATAGCTACTAAAAATCTGAACTCTGATTCTGATCTGATTAAAATTTCACTACTTATTATAGCAACCAGAAAAAAACTTTTTATTGATAGTCAGACACCCTGTTTGAAATATGTATATAAAAAATTACACCAAAAGAAGCTTCATGTTACTATTAACATAACCACCAAGTTTATTTGAAATTGATAAAAAGACATTTGAGGAATGAATAAAAAAAACGGTTTTTCATGGAAATATTAATAGCTTGTATCTTGAAAACGAAACAAGTTAGGACACATATATGTTTACATGAACTCTTATTTCCCAAAATATCACTAGGAATGACCACCTGATAAGTTTGTCGTACATATTCACTTACACTTTGAGATGTATTGAAAGAATATCAAATGTTCACTTGTCTTTTTGATGAAAATAACTGGAGTTGCGAAGATTTATGGCAAAAACCAACCATTTTACGTAAAATTTCAACAAACCCGTATCTCGAAAATTCTTTTATAAAAATTTTATAGAATCAATTTGTTTATTTTGGCGAGGTCTACCACAAACTTAGTTCTTTCGATAATTTTAAATATCTCGAAAACGATCACCTATATACAGCCATAGTTATGAGGCAAACAGCACTGATGGATATTTCTAGAATATTCGCTATAAATATGCTAAAAAGAAGGAATATATTCCGAATATTCACCAAATATTCCTAGAACATACAGGGTGTTTCAGAGTTGAATGTACATTTTTTTAAACTCTTGGAGCGCACGAAAGGAAAATTCTATAATGTTCGTGGAACATCGTGCGTACCAAGGAAGGATAGGAAGAGGAGGAAGGTGTTGGATTTTTTACTTGAGTTTTGGAGGTTATAAGTTCTTGGGAATACTTCCATTAGCAAATAATTGCACCGAGTATACCAGGGACACCTGTTCTCAGTTTCGCTTGACTGACCGCAGTACAAAACCATGGTAATAAACTGTGAAAAAACTAGGCTTAGTAAATTCAGAGAATCTTTTTGGCTCTGCCTCTCCGTCTACATCTCCATAAGCAAGAACCGAAAAAAAAACACCAGAATTCGGTGGAAAAATTGAGGTTGGTCGGTCTCTTTCAGCCGCCGCCCGCTCCCCCCGACAACGGTCGCATTGTGACCAGCCCGTCCTCCTGTTACAGCGAGAAGAGTTTGGACGCGGAGGCCCGCCCCCCCGCCCCGCCGCGGCCGCCCACTAGTCACGACTCCGCCCACCTCACGCCCGCCCACCGAGGCGACGACGTGTCCAGCGGCTACGGCAGTCCCGATTCCGAGACCTTCGACACGCCCCACCAGTGACGGCAGCCGCCCCCCGCCCTATGTAGGCCCGCCCACAGGCAGCGCGGCAGGACGACTATATCGTAGCGTTGTAGCGGGTGGAGGGTGGGGTGGCAGGCCGCCCAATGGGCGGGTATGCTGGGAGAACCGACGTTGGCGGCGAGCTGGACTGCTTTTTGGTGATTTTGTGCATTAGGTCAGGAAACCAACAAAAAATAGGGGAAACAATTGAGGAGCAATCAGCCAAAACCAGATTAATCCACTTTTGGGCAAAAATGATTTCATGATCGATTCGTATTTCTGTTGATGAGATAAATCCGATGGCGCAATCAGTTTCAACCATAACTCGTTAAATCCCATTTGTGTGTTAGGGAAAATGGACATCCATTTGAACAATTCAAAGAATAAATTACTGAATAATTTCGAAATACAATTATCATAGTAAATATTTAATCAGATGCTTATCCTACATTATGCACTTTTTATTACAATATATTTGTTGCTATCAGATACCTAAAAGTTTTGTGTTTTGTTAAATAGTTATTGTTGGTATTGTTTTTGTCCTCTTCATGGAGAAATCGAAAGAAATATTCCTTCAATTGGAACTTTTTCTATATGAAAAATCCATAGCCCACTATTAAAATTCGATGTTTCAGTGATTTTGAGCATTTTTGAAAATTCTATTTCTTTCATATATTTTATATTATCATTTTGAAAATCATAAGTTTGAGTCGTATCTGCGAAACCATACGCCGAAAAAAAAATTTGGTGCGCCACTAGATTCTTCGTAAATCTATGGGAAAAGATATTAATTTGACATTTTCGCTGAGAAACTTCGTAGATATAGAGGGGGTTCAAAAAGTATAAATTTTCAAAATCGCCCTGTATCTCATAAACAGAAACAGTTATGCAAAATCTGATTGGGCCATCTTGAGTTTCATAAAAAAGTGTTCGAAAACCACAAGGTTGTATCTCCAAAGATAACTGGGATATCATGCAAAAGCATCGAAAACGGGACACACTGTACAAACATTTGCAAATACACGATTTATTTACCCAATTCCATATATTTTGCCTTTGTTGAATGAACTAAATCGGTTATTGTGTTGAAGAGTGCTCTCGGGTGTTTTGAATTGTTTGACCGTGTCTTTGAAATGGATCATTATCAATGAACAGCCATGGAGGAACACACATTTTGAAATTGTTTACCGAAAATAGCAAAAAATCGAGGATAGAGCTTACATTTTTCTAATAATTATTTCAATTACTTTCTTAGTATTTTGAAAGAAGTTTCATTATTATGATTTACATGAACCGCACAAAAGAAGTTTTTCAACAGTTGAATTAAAAACTTGTAAATTGATATGCTGTTAAAAATTGTTCTAAAATTGTTCTTATCCATCATCCTGTTGCTCCCTCAGGAGCAACTCTCAGAAGGGGGCAAGGAATGAGGGATGCCTTACATTTTAATGTGTGATACCAAACACTTAGTCCTATCTCACTGTACAAGGTATGCCAAAAAGTCGGCCTCAACTTTCTTATTGTGACAAAATTCAAAAATGTAAAACAAAACAGGTGTTTCCATTGGAAAAAATGAAGTTTTCAAAAATTTAACCATACCTGCTGAATTTTGAATGAATTCAGGGTAATTTTGCACTCATCATGCGATGGGTTTTTTTCCGAAATTTTTTTTTTGGTACTTACGTATTTTTGTCTGGAAAACACGAATTTGATAATGAAAATGTGAACAAACCATTATTTATTAAGATATTTCACTATAAAGTTACAAATTTCACCTTCTTTTCCGCCTGTCTTTGGATCTCATTTAGAACAATTTATGAATTTACCCTTCTTTTTCCATCATTGGACAATTTATATATATCACACAATGTTGGACACATTTTTTTATTATATGAGTCAATTAGAAATATGATTTTCTTGTAATTTATCCATGTTTAGTGAAAAGGAGGAAGAATATCATTTGAAATAATGGCGTGTGTAATGTCATTCCAAAGCAATCTATTGACATTTGACATCTCGTATTTGGATTGCCTATGTATGCTTGCTCACTAAATAGGAAAAACTCGCCATAAAAATCATATTTCCTGTTGAATTTTTTAGCTTAAAATGTGTCATGGAAGTACATCATGAGTATATAAAGTGTCCAATGACAAAATAAAAAGAGCAAGTACCTGTAAATGCATCCAACACAAGGGGGAAAATAAGGCAAAATCTCGAACTTTTTCTTGAAATATCTCGATAAATAGTGGTTTGTTCACATTCTCATTATCAAATTCGTGTTTTTCAGTCAAAAATACGTGAGTGCCAAAAAAAATTTTCGAAAAAAAAACCATCGCATGATAAGTGTAAAATTACCGAATTCAGATTACTACTGGATGCACTGTATTGTGTTCATTTTATTGTCACCCTGTTTCTAAAAATTCCATAGATTTGTGAACAAATAAAAGCGAATAATATACCTTTGTCATAACACAAATTCTGTAAACTTTGCCAGCATCAAGAGTGCACTATGATTTGTTTTAATCCAGTAATACTCAACACATTATTACCTATTTATAAAAGTGTATGAAAAATTTCAATGAATGATACTTATATCTTATATGAATACTTCATGAACAACCCCATTTGAAGAGGAATGCCCTTTATATTCCTAAAAATACCTAGGCAAGAAAAACCAGAATTCTTCAATGCATGACATTTTACCATTTTTTCCTCAGTTTCTCCACTAACATTTACTTTATTAGCAACATTATATGCTCACTAAACGGAATTTTTCGACATATTTAATGAAAAACATCATCTGGTCATTAATTTTCGATTTTAAAATGGGACAGGATTGATAACCACAAAGGCATTTATATTCCATAATACCCATAACATATTCGTCTATCACCAGGATATTTCCGGTCCAAAATCTGATGTGGTGTTAATTCTCATGGATGTAGTTCTGGTAATATTGGTGACCACAGCAATCCATACGTTCACGCCATCTATTGCCAAATGTACTAGTTTAAAATAACCTTTCATGTAGATTGAAAACACAGAGCATATACGTTTCTCTATTTCATAATATAAAATAATTTCGAAATGTATGACAGATTAGTAAGTCAGAAATACACTTCTACTGAGTATACGTTTGTTTTTCCCAATTTCTGTAGGGCTTTACTTGATTATTAATGAATCCACTTTTTCTTTATTTCAATAATCAGTAATAATATGGTGTTCACTGTTGTATTATAATGAATACCTATAAGAGCTGTTTTGTCTCAATGTGGTTTTCTGGGTCAAGGAACAAACTATTGAGTGGAAAAAATATTAGGATCTCTTTGTGCTAGTCCAACTTGCCAAAAAAAAAAACACTAAAAAGACGTTTTGCACGAAAATATGTATTATAAGTATAATATATTATTATATAATATAATTTGATGAGATTTTGAATAGTATACGATTTGGAAAAAAAATGATATTGACATTAGGTATGTGCAATATTTTTTCAGGATTATATATTTTTGTTAACCTACTGAAACAATGAGATTTATTAAATTGAAACCATTGGGAGACCTAGGTCAGATAAGTAAATTCCTTTCAGTACCTAATGTTCCTCATAAGCAAGCAATTGTGCTTTGACATTTAGTTCTACAGGGTGATTCAGGTTTTGAAGTACAAACTTATCATTTTTATTAAAAAAGTTCATATTAACATGAGTCTGATCACGATCAGTAGCAAATCTACAGGGGGATAAATTCCAATTATTTTGTTTTATTAATTGAAATATCTCGCTCACTTTTGAAGATATCAATTTGAAATTTGGTGTGTGGTTAATACTTTCTAGGAATTCATCATTTTAAGCATTTTAGAGATTTTGTAAATCTACAGGGTGATACGTTTTTGGGGGTATAGGCTTCTTTATCCCGCCAAACTTTTTCTTCTCCACTACAGATTGAGATCAGACACATGTTTATACACACTTTTTTGTTCAGAATGATGAGATCTATCACTCATTTCAGTTTGTACCTCAACACTTGAATAACCCGGTATATAAGACACCAAGAAGTCTAGACCAAACTTGAAAATTTTGTAAATACAAACACATTTATGGTTGAATTTTATAGTTTGAACAACATACCTACTTATCTTTAGTTAGTATTGTGATATTGGATAAAATTTTAAAAATTGATTTCAAAGTGCTGCTTCCTGTATGCTTTTTACACACATATCTCTGCCATTTTCTGTTAATGTTATACTTCCATCATAGTTTATAAACTCAAAACGGAGGATTTGTATGATGAATTGTATTATTTTGATTTTTTCCTTTGTTGATACATTGTATATACTATACTAGTTAAAACCTGAATAAATGTTGTCTTTTTGTTTATTGTTATTTCATTCACTCCCCTATTTCAAATATGAATTATGTCTAAGACATTATTACATCCAAGAAGGAGAAGACAACCAATTTGGTGGAGGAAAAATACAGATATATGGATCTGGTTCTTTCTGAATAATCATGATATATATTTTGTTTCCTTCCTAATACATAAAAGTATAAAATATTTCAATATTATTATTTACAATTAAAATAGCACTTAATTAATAAAAATAATGAAAGCATTGTATGACTAAACACAAGTTCCACATAGTCCCAAAAGATGAAGATTAAAAACAGTATAATACCAACCCCTTAAGAAAAGAATTTCTATCTGGAAAATTTCTATTAGAAAAAAATTAATATATTTTTGAAGAGTGAGTGTTTTCTGATTATGAAAATATTTGCTGTCTAGGTCCAATTCATTCCACTTTCTTTGTTATTAAAATCCTAATTTTAAATAGCTGAGATGACTCCAATTACCAATCTTCCACCAAAATGAATGGCATCTTTCAACAGCACCATGATGATTTTGTATCTTTGGAGCTTGCCAATCTTCTAGAGCCTCCAGTAGATAGCACTACTGTATCAGAGTTAGAAGAAATAGATGAAGGTAAAAACTGTTTGTGATTTTTTAGTTTAAGAGCCAAAGTCATGAAAATTGCTTCAACATTATCACACTGAGAATCTAGTCTTGCTGATGTCTCAAATAACTGAAAAGAAAAGGAAAATGGATCATCTGAGAAGGTGCCAAGTTTTTGGCTGGTTCTTACAGGCATATTGTATTGATCAGCAAATCTTTGGGCTACATTGTGGGGCACTGCTGCTATGCCATCACATTTATTTCCAACTAGAATCTTGGGAACATCTTGTAGGCTGTTGGTTTCACATTCTTCCATCCATTTTTTCAATGTTTCAAAGCTTTGGATTTTGGTAACATCATAAACTATGATGACTGCATTTACATTCTTATAGTAATGACGAACCATAGAATTCCTATATCTTTCTTGTCCAGCTGTATCCCATAACTGAAGCTTGAATTTTAGATTTTCAGAGAGGATATTAATTAGCAAATAATGAGACAATTAAAACACATTGATGTACATACATTTATATCCTCTCCTTCAATATTAACAGTCCTACTTCTGAAATCAACTCCTATGGTGGCCTCTGCAAATTCTAGGAACTTTCCTTCACAGAATCTATATGTAAGGGTTGTTTTTCCTACTCCTGATTCTCCTATAACGATGATTTTGAAAATTCTTTCTTGATTTGGAGTTCTGCTGACTACAGTTGGTGTTTGGCTGACTACAGTTGGTGTTCGGCTGACTACAGTTGGAGTTCTGCTTACTACAGTTCTAGTACTACTACTACTACTACTCATCATATTTAGTTGATGCAATATTTGTGAATGGTTTTCTCTTCTTGTTATATTCTTGCAATATTATCACATCAATAATCACAACTGAAATTACCTATTATGTGGATAAAATAGGGAAAATAGAAATATAAAATAAAAAACTAAAAATAATAGTTATTTATTATACAAGGGAAAAAAGTAGTAGATTTTAGCTCCAGGTTGTGTTGTCTCCCGACGCGTAGCGGAGGGAGACAAAAAACCGTGAGCTAAAATCTAATATTTTTCCCGTGTATAATACACTATTTTTTTCTGTGACAGAAGGAAGGACGAATCAATATTGAGAAGATATTACATTATTTCGAAATGTGAAAATTATCGACGTGAAATTTCAAGTTTTTAACAGTAGGGACACCTGCGTTTTATAGACATCTTTATCATTCTTTTGAAGTAATCAAATATCTGATGTCACTTCTGTCAGTTCAATTCTGTGATTTGATTTTAAAAAATTGCGAATTTAGTAGTTGTTTAGTAATATACGAAACCGCGAAGTCGAATGGAAGATAAAAGGACTTGCAGTTCTTTCTCGGAGACGGTATTATTGACGCATTTTTCGGAACTATAGCACAACAAAAGCCATTAACAGAGTATATATATGTGATATATATCCGGGAAAGAAGTACTCACTTTTTTCCCACGGGAAAAAAGTAATTTATGAAAAGTGACATTTTATAACCTGCCAACAGAGATGAAATGCCAAACTTTTTTCCCGTCACAGAAAAAACAATATTTTCTACAAAAAAAAAGATTCACCCTCCCTGCCCTCTCCTGCCAATCACAATCGCAATAATTAGCGTCTGCGAGACGGCCGCAAGTAATAACTCCGTGGTGGGAGAACGTTATAAGTGGGCAGTAGATGCGACTGGCGTTATGCGGCGCCGACTGAATGACTTCATCATACTTCGTCTCGTAAGCAACTGGTTGGCTCAGTAAGCAGAGCATCGGCATGCGAAGCCGGCGGGCCGGGGTTTCGAATCCGTGCGAGGCTCATCTTTTTTTTATTTTTTTCTTGTTCTCAAGTGATTTCTAAAAAATATTCCCTATGGGAAATAGGTTCATTTAGGGGTTTTCTATGTTTAGGCCAGGGGTGAGGTTCGGTTAGGTTAGGTTAGAATAGAATAGAATATTTTATTTGGTGTTATTAAACATTAAGTTTTACACAGGTCAACGAAACAAGTACAGATATACTCATAAAATAGATAGGTTAGGTTTTCTCCTCAGTTTTCTCATTTTTTATGCAGAAAGAATATTTTCCTTCCTCAAGAAAAATTCTCCTTCTTCAAGAAAAAATGTTCATCTAGGTCGATTGATTGTTAAAAAAACATTCCTTCCTTATATTAGACAGATTAGACTCGACACAAGTTAACTAACGTTTCCCTACCACGGAGTTATTACTTGCGGCTGTCCGCAGACGCTAGTATCAAAGAATATAGGTTAGTCGCAATACTCTGTCTGTCACAATTACTGACATTTACTGACACCCAGTTGAATTCGGTGTCAGTAGTGTCACAGTGTAGTGTCAGTACCATTGCTGTCAATAAATGAAAAGTCAGAATGACAAATCCACAAAAATTCAATGTTGACATTTCACGTTGTCTTCAAGTCTACATCTACATGTCTTGCCCAAATGGCGTAAAGAGATTCGTTTAGTAGTAAAATAATAATAATTTGGGTGTGGCTGTTAATAAATCAAAATTAATATAAACAAGGTCTGATTGAAATACTTTTAAGATAAGCAGCCATAGATCTAAAATGAGAAGGATAGTCGTTCACATCAGAATCCACTGAAATATGTTCTAAAGGAGAGGTTATGAACCAAAAGTTTTTTTCCAAAACAATTATGATTTTTTCATGAAGTGAATCTAAAAATGTCTCGATTGGCAGACTACTTTGTTGTAGTTGGGTATGATCATGATAAAGAAAGTATGTATATTGTTTCCCAAAGGTTGAAGTACCAAAATGGTAAATATTCTCTTGTTACAGGAAGTGGTATCAGTAGTGGACTTATTTTACAAAGATTTCCAGAGAAAGATTGGTCGGATACACCTTTCATTGATGGAATAGAATGGGTATTCATTTTGATGTTTGCAGTGACACAACTGGTAGGTACTAATAGCTCCCAATTTTCAGTTTTGTCAGCCCCAAGGATGGACTCTATCAACAGAAAGGCAGGAACCAAGGTTTTTTGTATCTGTTCTTACAGATATAGACGCAAACCGTCATTATTGTGCTTGCCTCTGCTTTAATGAAACTGTATCAATAACTCCCAGCAAGCCTGTAGATGAGGTAATACCCAAGACTTCAAGTTGAGGTTTATAATAGCATACAAAATTTATAGGAAGAAGATGCAGTAGAAGCTGAGACTGCACTTGTGAGACCCATACCAGCAATTTCTCATCATAGTATAATGTATGCTCCAAAATGTCTGGTACTAGTTTCTCGCTTAGATTATATTGAAACATTTAGAGTAAGTACAACTAAACTTCTAGAAGGTGAATAACTTTCAAATTATCACCCTCATACTCTTACAACAATAATTAACTGGACAAAATTGAGATCTGTACATATCAGCTAGTGAACTGAATAGTGAATACTCAGTTGGTTATTTACTTACTTGAACAATAATAATAGTTGTTGTATTTACAGAAGATATCTTGAAATCCTGGAGTAATTATTGAAGTGCCTATATTTGTTTACAAATTATTGTTTTAATTTGTTATTTTGAGAGGTCCAACTTGAATTATAGGGGACATCAGATTAATGCTATATGTTTTGTTCCCAGTAGATCATTTTGATATTGAAATTCCTGATCCTCTCATTAACAAAAAGTACATTGGAATTTGTGAAGACTTCCTCCTATAGGCAAAACAGGACTCAAATTGTTATAATCAGAAAGTGTATCTGAGTATCTGTGGGTTTCCAGTTTGATTTCTTGGTCAATGTCATCTTTGGTACTCTGGTATTCCACCTCAAGAATTTACTACACAACACTAATGTATGAAAAATTCAATTCCATTGATTTTAGAGCAGTTATTTAAGGAGTGAATATTCCTTTGTGGCTACAAAGGAAGGAGTTTTTTACATAATATTCTAGAGTTTGATGTGTTCCAGCTGACTCACTCTGTATACAGTGTCACCAATAGGTCTGGCACTTTTTCTAACTGAATGATTAGATTAGATTAGATTAATGGAATGACTAAATATAAAAACAGTTGTTTTGGTGAAGAATTATTTGTTTTTCATTTAATACAAAGTTCACCAATTTCTAACAATTTGAATAAAACTTTGTGGAATATAGGAACAATTTCCAAAACACTCCATTGAATGAAATAAGCCATAATTATAAGCAGAGTAAAAAAAACAAATTTATTTCAATTTGGTATATGGTCATGAAATTGAGGAAGAAACAACTCTCATACCTATTCAATATTTTAAAAGTATTCCCAAATTTTACAAATATATAATGCTCAATTTCCTGGTTACTTTTTTTTTAAATGTTCAATGAACTGCCTTGATAGATTCAGAGAAAAGAACAATTTTTTCCTTGGCTAATGCCACACAGAACAATGAATTACATTCTTCCGAAATCTATTCAATGATTCCTATACACGTATGGCAAGAATAATGTTCCTATAAAGAAATCGTCGCATGGGCATTATAAAATAGCGGTGTTGCCTTATGCTTCCTGTCGCGCTAACCTCTCATCAAGTGAGTCAATTTCGCGGCCCGACCGAAGGGATTGTCATTGTCGTTCGCCACACGTGCCATACTCGAGTAGGTGGGGCAACGACTCTTTTTTCCTCTCTATTAAATACCCATGAATCTACATGCATATTTAATCACATGGTTTCTCTATAGGAAAATTATTCTTGTCAGGCGTGTTTCTCACCTAGATGCAGTCATGTTTGAATAGAAAAAATAGAATTTGTTCACTATTAGGAACAGAACCTGTGAACAGAACATTACATTATGTTTAATGCAAGTCAAGTACAGGGTGATTGGTTATATTTTACTCAATAGCTATCTCAGTTAATATTGGTCTTACAGAAACGTTGAAATGGGCGAAAGTGAAGTATTTTTTATGGGCATTCAGAATCTATTACTAGAGAATGCAAAAAAGCATCATAAACTTGAATTTTTTTCGAATGGAACACCCTGAATTTCATTTTCCCAATCAATAGAGCCCTTTCTCCTGATTTCAAATATATGTACTTTATTGACGTTATCTGTCAGTTTTTGAAAAATATGGATTCTAAGGCAGCTGTAGAATGCCAAAAATCACACCTACATTAAATTTTTACAAACCTTTTATATTGGTGAACAAAAATTAATTTGAATAGGAATCAAAAATTGTTAGAAAAACAAAAAAATCATCTATTTCTTTCAGAAATGATAAGTTTTTCAAGTTTGAATTTGAATTTGATTGGATTTCTCATTGTTTTTTTCAATTTTGAACATTTCTTCTAATGAGAATGATTCTTTTGTTTTATATAACTGAATTGTTGGTGTATCATATTTTGTGGAAATGAGTTTTTCTCGGGTAGGTTGCGTTCGGCCCAATTTTCGATTCACCCAATTTTCGATTGGCCCAATTTTCGATTCGCCCAATTTTCTATTCACCCAATTTTCGATTCGCCCACCATCGCCGAATATACCCGAACGATGCGTTGTTACCAAATCTGAATGAAGAATCATTCTGGGCTAAACATTATCAAATATTTCAATTTTTTGATACACATAATAATATGTATATATGGTACATATTTCGATTTGCCCAAATTTCGATTCACCCAATTTTAGATTTGCCCAATTTTTTATTCACCCAATTTTCGATTCGCCCACCATCGACAAATATACCCGATGCGTTGTTACCAAATCTGAATGAAGAATCATTCTGGGCTAAACATTATCAAATATTCCAATTTTTTGATACACATAATATGTATGTATGGTACATATTTCGATTTGCCCAAATTTCGATTCACCCAATTTTTGATTCGCCCAATTTTCGATTCGCCCAATTTTCAATTTGCCCAATTTTTGATTTGCCCAATTTTCGATTCGCCCAATTTTCGATTCTGCCAATTTTCGATTCTCCCAATTTTCGATTCTCCCAATTTTAGATTCACCCAAATTTCGATCTACCCGAATTTTGACGTAATATATGGAAGGAAAATATTCTTTTCTGCATAAGGAAGGAGACTACCTTTTTCAAACTACCTAACCTAACCTACCTAACCTATCTAACCTACCTAACCTACCTAACCTACCTAACCTACCTAACCTACCTTACCTACCTAACCTACCTAACCTACCTGAATTGGGTGAAACGAAATGATAGCCCAACGACATATTTGAATGTAAAATGATTGTTGGTAATTCCCGTTTCATTGAATCCGAGAAAATGTGGCATTATTTGACACAACGCATCTTTCGGATATGTTCGGAGACGGTGGGTGAATGGAAAATTGGGTGAATCGAAAATTGGGCGAATCGAAAATTGTGCGAATCGAAAATGGGGTCAAACGAGACGTTCCCTCTCTGGCTACTTGAGAAAATGCAATTTCTTTCCAGAACTGTCTAGGCATAATCTACTCAGTATACATCGAAAACATGCCCGTCCCGCTAGAAACCCTCGTGGGCAACATCCTCGGCTGCGTCCAGGTGCCCCCGCCGGGGGGCCCCCAAGTGCGCTTCAGCATCGGGGCGGGGGACCGCCAAGCCCTGCAGCCCCCCCTGTCCCCCTCCCTACCAGTAACGCACACCTCAGTCAACTTGTTATTTCATCAACTGGGCATCAGGAACGTCCTGGTGCTGTTTTGTGCCATCATGACCGAGCACAAGATCCTGTTTCATTCGAAGAGCTACAATCGCTTGTCGGAGGCCTGCAGGGCTCTTACTGCCTTGATGTACCCCTTCAGGTACACGCACGTGTACATTCCGCTGTTGCCGGCGCCTCTGGTCGAGGTGCTTTCGACGCCGACACCTTTCATCATGGGGGTGCACTCATCGCTGAAAACAGAAGTGGCCGAATTGGTGAGCACAAAGTTGGTGTTTTGCATTTCTTTCTGATGAATTTCATTTATTTACCAGCTGTCTGGCCAGGCTTTGCAGGATTGGTGTACCCATTAAAAAAAATTAGACATTTGTTGCAGTCCTTCTGAACTATGCGCGTATCTATAGTACATATTTTTTATTATTTTTTCAATTTTTGTGCTTACCTATAGCTACTATTATATACTTACAACTATTTTCATTCTCTCAGTTTGTGAAATCATGGAAATGGTTCTATTACCCGTTTTCTCTTAGGAATGAAGCATTTTCCTGCAGTGAAAAGTAGCCTACGTTCATCAGGGATAATGCCGGCTTTTAATGGTTAAAGGGATTTTTCAAATCGATCCAGTAGTTTTGGAGCCTACTCAATACAAACAAACAAATCTTTCTCCCTTATGATATTATAACAGATTTATTGAGCAGAAACAATCGAATTGGTTTTTTTTTGACAAATCGTCATAGTATTTATTCTAGTGGACATTTTTTTCTTTGAATACCCACCAGCGAATTTTTTTTGTATGTTCTGGTTCCCACGAAAAGGGATATCCTGTAATGTTCTGAGAACATCGTGAGAACCAAGAGAAATAAGGTAGGAATTGGTGTTCTTCTTAAATTTCTGGAGGTTATATGCCTCGGGGAACACCTCCCTTGGCAATGTGTTCCAGAGCCTCGCTGTTCGTTGGATGAACGAGTCTTTGGAAAGAGATGTTCTGCAGGTCTCCAAAGTGACTACAAAGGGGTGCGAAGCCTCAACTCGACGGCTTAATCTCGCGGGGACTGCCAAGGGAGGAACAACTGTTGATATTTCAGAAGAGCATCGTTCATGAAAATATCTATAAAATAAAGCCAGATCGCCAACTTTTCTACGGTGTTCCAGAGAAGTGAGTGAGTTTGTGAGCGAGGCATCACTCACGAGACGAATTGCCCTTTTTTTGGACAGAATCCAACAGTTTCAGGGTATGTTTGGGTGCTGCACTCCAAATATGGGAACAGTATTCCAGAACAGGGCGGATCTGTGCCTTATAGATCATAAGCAGCTGACTGGAAGTGAAATGGCTCCTGGCTCGAAACAGAACACCAAGTTTTTGGGATGCACTTTTAGCAATTGATCTCACGTGATTTTCCTAAGAAAGGTTATTGCTGATAGTAATACAAAGCATCGAAATGGATGTCTTCAAAGGTATGGTTACTCCTGACAAGCTTATGTTATTGTTACCAAGTTATTGGATACCCATTCGAGAATTGTTGCCAAGTCCATATTTTCTGATTTGCTGGGCTGGTATTGGAGCCCTGGAAGAGAAGGCGGTATGGAGGTTACAATTATCCGCGAAGCTCTGTACTGGACATGATATGGAGTAGAAATAGTGTTGGTGCTAGAATTGATCCTTGCGGAACACCAGCATTTATGATAAGAGAGTCAGATGAAACTCCGTCGACCACTACATGGAGAGACCTGTTTGAGAGAAAACTAGCTTGCAGAAAACATAGCTGGGGAGGCAAGCCATAAGATGAAAGCTTGGCGAGGAGTCTGTGGTGCCAGACTCGATCGAATGCCTTGGAGATATCAAGTGCCACGGCTAAGGTTTCACCATATTTTTCAATAGATTGCTGCCATATATGTCAGACATAAGCGAGCAGGTCACTAGTTTATCTCTGATGAGGGAAGGCATATTGATAATACCTGAATGTTGCAGGTATTTCATGAGCTCGATGTTGATAGCTTTCTCCATGATCTTTGAAATAATAGATGGCAGTGCGATCGGTCTGTAGTTGCTAGGTAGGGTCTTTTTTCCTTTTTTAGGAACTGGTTGTACTCTTGCAATTTTCCAGTTGGACGGGAATATCCCCAATTTGTAAGAGTAGTTGAACAACTTGCAGAGAAAAGGTGTTAGTTCGGGAGCACATTTCTTGAGAACAATCGTTGGGATTCCGTTGGAGCCACAAGCTTTGTTGGTGTTGAGACCCAATAAAATCTTCCTTATAGTACGTTGGCGAAAGGTGATCTCGGGCATATGACTGTCAATTGGCGTTATGTTTGGAGGTTGTGTTCCCGATGAATCCACAGTGGAATTCAATTTCCAAACACAATCTGGTGTGAATTTTCTTACCGAATACCACTGAGGTATACATTATTTTCCAGAAATTATTTTTTCTCGCTCATAGATATTTTGAAAATGATTCCGAGTCAAAGACGAGCTCGAAAACATTCCCGGAAACAATTCAACCTCTAGTGAAAATCCGCAGATGGACGTGATCGTGGCGGACCTCGACGGCGGCTCCATCACCATCCCGGACGGCATCTCGCTGCCGCTGCTGCCCGAGCCGCTGCTCAGCCACACCCAGGAGGCGCTCAGCCTGATCCTGCAGCCCGAGCTCACCTGCGCCGACCACGCCTTCCCACCGCTGGCGGTGCGGGCGCCGCAGGCAGTCATGCTCGACAAGGAGATCCGCGCCGTGTTTATGAGGACGTTCGCGCAGCTGCTGCAAGGTTACAGGTATTTTTCCTCTTCCAGATCAAATTAGAATAGCAAATATCAATGGCGTGTTGTCCATGGAAGCTAGGGAAGCACAGCTTCCCTAGTCCAAAAATCCTCATGTTCAAATAGATGATGTAATGATTACCGTTCTAATTAATTGTATCTTCCTCATTCAATGCAGATTTTTTTAACCCGATTGTCATTTTAAAATAAAAGAATAAAAGGGACGCTCATGTCCGCCAGCCGCGAGAACGCCGAGAACCGATCACAGGCTACCGATGGAACATCGATCAGTTGGTAGTAGGTAAAAATCCGAACTTTTTTCAGAGCGAAGGTAGCTCAATTCTGTTGTCACCATCGACTTTTTTGGGTCGAAAACTGCCTCATTAGGTCACAGAATCAAAATGGAAGCGAAATCTCGACAGATAATCATCATTTACATTTCAGTTTGAGATATCCATCAGTTGGTAGTAGGTAAAAATTCGAACTTTTTTCAGAGCGAAGATAGCTCAATTCTGTTGTCACCATCGACTTTTTTGGGTCGAAAAACTGCCTAATTAGGTCACAGAATCAAAATGGAAGCGAAATCTCGACAGATTAGGATGATTTACATTTCAGTTTGAGATATCCATCAGTTGGTAGTAGGTAAAAATCCTAACTTTTTTCAGAGCAAAGATAGCTCAATTCTGTTGTCACCATCGACTTTTTTGGGTCGAAAAACTGCCTAATTAGGTCACAGAATCAATATGGAAGCGAAACTCAACAGATTAGGATGATTTACATTTCAGTTTGAGATATCCATCAGTTGGTAGTAGGTAAAAATTCGAACTTTTTTCAGAGCAAAGATAGCTCAATTCTGTTGTCACCATCGACTTTTTTGGGTCGAAAAACTGCCTACTTAGGTCACAGAATCAAAATGGAAGCGAAATCTCGACAGATTAGGATGATTTACATTTCAGTTTGAGATATCCATCAGTTGGTAGTAGGTAAAAATTCGAACTTTTTTCAGAGCAAAGATAGCTCAATTCTGTTGTCACCATCGACTTTTTTGGTTCGAAAAACTTCCTCATTAGGTCACAGAATCAAAATGGAAGCGAAATCTCGACAGATGAGGATCATTTACATTTCAGTTCAAGACATCGATCAGTTGGTAGTAGGTAAAAATCCGAACTTTTTTCAGAGCGAAGATAGCTCAATTCTGTTGTCACCATCGACTTTTTTGGGTCGAAAAACTGCCTCATTAGGTCACAGAATCAAAATGGAAGCGAAATCTCGACAGATGAGGATCATTTACATTCAGTTTAAGACATTGATCAGTTGGTAGTGGGTAAAAATCCGAACTTTTTTCAGAGCAAAGATAGCTCAATTCTGTTGTCACCATCGACTTTTTTGGGTCGAAAAACTGCCTAGTTAGGTCACATAATCAAAATGAAAGCGAAATCTCGGCAGATAAGGATCATTTACATTTCAGTTTAAGACATCGATCAGTTGGTAGTAGGTAAAAATCCGAACTTTTTTCAGAGCAAAAAGATAGCTCAATTCTGTTGTCACCATCGACTTTTTTGGGTAGAAAAACTGCCTCATTAGGTCACAGAATCAAAATGGAAGCGAAATCTCGACAGATAAGGATCATTTACATTTCAGTTTAAGACATCGATCAGTTGGTAGTAGGTAAAAATCCGAACTTTTTTCAGAGCAAAGATAGCTCAATTCTGTTTCCACCATCGACTTTTTTGGGTCGAAATAGTGCCTAATTAGGTCACATAATCAAAATGGAAGAGGAATCTTGACATATGAGAAAGATTTACATTCCAGTTCAAGACATTGATCGGATGGTAGTAGGTAAAAATCCGAACTTTTTTCAGAGCGAAGATAGCTCAATTCTGTTGTCACCATCGACTTTTTTGGGTCGAAAAACTGCCTAATTAGGTCACAGAATCAAAATGGAAGCGAAATCTCGACAGATGAGGATCATTTACATTTCAGTTTAAGACATCGATCAGTTGGTAGTAGGTAAAAATCCGAACTTTTTCAGAGCAAAGATAGCTCAATTCTGTTGTCACCATCGACTTTTTTGGGTCGAAAAACTGCCTCATTAGGTCACAGAATCAAAATGGAAGCGAAATCTCGACAGATAAGGATGATTCACATTTCAGTTTAAGACATCGACCAGTTGCTAGTGGGTAAAAATCCGAACTTTTTTTAGAGCAAAGATAGCTCAATTCTGTTTCCACCATCGACTTTTTTGGGTCGAAATAGTGCCTAATTAGGTCACATAATCAAAATGGAAGAGGAATCTTGACATATGAGAAAGATTTACATTCCAGTTCAAGACATTGATCGGATGGTAGTAGGTAAAAGTTCGAACTTTTTTCAGAGCGAAGATAGCTCAATTCTGTTGTCACCATCGACTTTTTGGGTCGAAAAACTGCCTAATGAGGTCACAGAATGAAAATGGAAGCGAGATCCCGGCAGATAAGGATCATTTACATTTCAGTTTAAGACATCGATCAGTTGGTAGTGGGTAAAAATCCGAACTTTTTTCAGAGCAATGATAGCTCAATTCTGTTTCCACCATCGACTTGTTTGGGTCGAAATAGTGCCTAATTAGGTCACATAATCAAAATGGAAGAGGAATATTGACATATGAGAAAGATTTACATTCCAGTTCAAGACATTGATCAGATGGTAGTAGGTAAAAATTCGAACTTTTTTCAGAGCGAAGATAGCTCAATTCTGTTGTCACCATCGACTTTTTTTGGTCGAAAAACTGCCTAAATAGGTCGCAGAATCAAAATGGAAGTGAAATCTCGACAGATGAGGATCATTTACATTTCAGTTTAAGACATCGATCAGTTGGTAGTAGGTAAAAATCCGAACTTTTTCAGAGCAAAGATAGCTCAATTCTGTTGTCACCATCGCCTTTTTTGGGTCGAAAAACTGCCTCATTTGGTCACAGAATCAAAATGGAAGCGAAATCTCGACAGATGAGGATCATTAACATTTCAGTTCATTTTAGTTCAAGACATCGATCAGTTGGTAGTAGGTAAAAATCCGAACTTTTTTCAGAGCGAAGATAACTCAATTCTGTTGTCACCATCGACTTTTTTGGGTTGTTAAACTTCCTCATTAGGTCACAGAATCAAAATGGAAGCGAAATCTCGACAGATGAGGATCATTTACATTTCAGTTTAAGACATCGATCAGTTGGTAGTAGGAAAAAATCCGAACTTTTTTCAGAGCAAAGATAGCTCAATTCTGTTGTCACCATCGACTTTTTTGGGTCGAAAAACTGCCTAATTAGGTCACAGAATCAAAATGGAAGCGAAATCTCGACAGATTAGGATGATTTACATTTCAGTTCGAGATATCCATCAGTTGGTAGTAGGTAAAAATCCGAACTTTTTTCAGAGCAAAGATAGCTCAATTCTGTTTCCACCATCGACTTTTTTGGGTCGAAATAGTGCCTAATTAGGTCACATAATCAGAATGGAAGGTTAATCTCGACAGATGGGGATCATTCAAATTCCAGTTCAAGACATCGATCAGTTGGTACTAGGTAAAAATCCGAACTTTTTTTAGAGCAAAGATAGCTCAATTCTGTTGTCACCATCACCTCTTTTGGGTCGAAAAACTGCCTGATTAGGTCAAAGAATCAAAATGGAAGCGAAATCTCCACAGATTAGGATGATTTACACTTCAGTTTAAGATATCGATCAGTTGGTAGTAGCTAAGAGGAATGTATTCTTCGAGATGGATAAAAAATATTGAGATAACAGGTTATCATTCCTAATGAATGTGGGGATACCTAAACGAAGACATGATCGTGGACCGGCTAGGAAAAATAAGTAAGCTATTTAAAATGTATAATGCCGACGTTGAGCCTACATATCGTTATGATGACGTTTCAAAACAGTTTACATCTTTTATTAAAAGACGCTGCAGTTTCAATAGAGATATGGTAGAACGGTGTATCAAACCAATACGAAACACTATCAAAAATGAAGAAAAAACGATGTATTCAAACTGCTCATGGCAAGATTTGGTATTGATTGGGAGTCAATTATTCCATTATCGACTTTGATTTTCTATGAGAATGCCTTCAATAATATTAACAGTGAGGTAGAAGCAAAAGAACCAATGGAAGAAGGAGTTCAATGTGACTGTTCTGTCGAAGAAATAGGGCACATTTGAGTATAATATTTCACATCAGGTGTCTGTTTATATAATTAAATTAATATTTTTATTTGTGGCTTCCTTTGGCTCTTCATTTCTCACTAGCAAGAGATCCATCAGAATCATTCTGATGGATAATGTCCCAACTGCTTCAAAATGCATTATGTCCAACATCCAACATAACAATAGTTATAAACCTAGAATCTCAAGACTAAGAGATTCTAGGGATATTTCGTGAATCGATTGTCAGCCGATACAAGACAGACTGATTCGACTTGCCATAAGTCTCATCAGTTGCACTGGCCAGCTGACAATCGATTCACGAAGGGTACCTCCATATATCAAACAAGTTGAAGCCCTGAGGGGACAGAAGGACGATCTAGCCTTGATAGCCATCTAGTGGCTTAAGTGCAAGGTGTTTAGGTAGATTCATCAATCATACGAACGACTAAGTCGTGCATATAGACCCCTACGTCTATATGCTTACAGAAAAGACATCCATGTCAGATTCTGTAGACTATCGCAACACATGTAATTCTCAAAGTGGTTTAATGTTCCACTAACAGATGGTGATAAACCTAGAATCTCAAGACTAAGACATTCTAGGGAAACGACCCCGCACGAAAACACGGTAAATTGGCTCTCGGTCGAATTGGCTGAAATTTAACTATGTTATTGTGGGATGGCTCATTAGAAAAATATGTGAGTTTGTGTGTAAGATTCATGCTTAGTGGAATAAGATATCTTATCCAGAAAATCCTGTCGAGTTATCGATTTGGCAGCAGTTCCACAGAGGTCCTTAGAATGAGATGCCTTTCAAATTATAATTTGAAAGCTTCAATACATCTATCTATCAACAGGAGCTGTCTAACCTTGATCAGGATACACGCCAAGCCGGTAATAACGTTCCACAAGTCGGCTTTCCTGGGCGAGCGTAACCTCAAAGACTGCGACTTCACCACGCGAGTCCTCGACTGCATGTTCTTCACCAGCTTCGTCTCCGAACGAGGGCCCCCTTGGCGGCCCTGCGACGTCTGGGACGAGCTGTACAGCAACCTGGGAGAGCTGTTCAAGGTAGTTTTGCACTTATCATGCGATCGGTTTATATGAAAATTACCCTGTTCAAGAGCGAAAATCAAGATCCTCGGCTGGTGTTAGCCCACATTCAAGAATTGGCGACGCAGCTGTATACAAACGAGACGCCCAATCCGCAGTCGTACGCGCAGAAGATCCCGGTGCCGCCCGAGGGGGCGTACGCGCGGATACACCAGCCCGCCTTGCCCAGAATCGACGTGGAGAAGGTGGAGGAGATCATCGCCGAGGGGTCGTCGAGGAACAACCTCAAATCGAGGTCAGTTTAATGTAATAAAAATAATAACAGGTAACTGTGAACAATCATGTAGTGAGAACTAGGGCATTAGTTAGTTAAAGCAAGGCTTTCGGTGAAATTAGTCACACCATCTTGATACAAAGACTGGCTGAAGTTGGTGTGAGCACATTCCTATTGCGATGGATTTGGTCTCACTTGGTTGGCAGGACACAGGTGGTAACACTCAATGGATTCAATTCAGATTCCTTTGAAGCAACATCTGGGGTTCCCCAAGGCAGTCACTTTGGACCATTGTTCTTTATAATTTATATAAATGAAATAATCAAGTCTTTCAAATTTTGTTCAATTCTACTATATGCAGACGACTTGAAACTTTATCACACTGTGAAGGATATAAGTGACTGCAGAAAAATACAAGAAGATTTGAACCGTCTTTCATTATTCGGTGATGATGATAGCCTATCTTTGAACCTTGATAAATGCATCTCAATCACATATACCAGAAACAAGAATAAACTCAATTTTGCATACAAAATCGGAAATCATGAGCTGAAATCAGTATCGGAAGTTGAAGATCTCGGGGTAATAATGGACTCCAAATTGACATTCAAATCGCACATAGAAAAAAAAAATCAACGAATGCAATAAAATGATAGGATTCTTGAAAAGAAGTTGTCACAGTTTTGGGAATATAAAATGTCTTTTGAGTATTTGTTATGCTTATGTGCACAGTAAACTTTGTTTCGCATCCGTTGATTTGGAATCCCCAATATCAAATTCATATTGACAGAATTGAGGGAACAGAAAAAATTCCATAGATTTATTGCTTACAAATCGAATATTGAAATAATAAATAGTGACTACACACCAATGATGTGTGAACACAGCATGTTAGCTCTCAAAATTTTGATGAAATAATCAATCTCTGACCCCGGAAGCCCCCAGATACCAATTTTGAATAAACTCAGATTACAACATTCGTCCGCCATATTGGATCCGCCATCTTGAATTTTCAATTTGAAAAATGGCTTACGACTGTTTCTCACACCTACCAGATACGCACAAAAATTTTCATACGATTCGGTCAAGCCGTTCTGGAGGAGTTTGGCGGCAAACATCGTGACAGGGACATTAGAATATTACATGTATATAGGGTGTCCCTTCGGGAACTGCATCGATCAATATATAGAAAACCATAGGTGGGCCGAATTTGAAAATCTGGTAGTTCACTATTGTTGATAAGTGCTATCCGACTAAAATATTTTTAAGATTGTGGCACTTCCGGTTGTACCGGAAATGGACCCCAACTTCGTTATTTCAAATGGAACACCCTGTACTTTATTGCATTTTTAGATTCTTACTAAAGAGTTCATTTCATCAATGCATCACACTTGGGGTCTATCAGGAATGATTACAGAGATATAGGGTGAATGAAAATATCTTAAAATTGAAAAATCTTGATTTTGAACACCCTATATCTCTGTAATCATTCCTGATAGACCCCAAGTGTGATACATTGATGAAAGCAGCTCTTCAGTAAGAATCTAAAAATGCAATAAAATACAGGGTGTTCCATTTGAAATAACGAAGTTAGGGTCGCCGGATAGCACTTATCAACAATAGTGAACTACCAAATTTTCAAATTCGGCCCACCTATGGTTTTCTATATATTGATCGATGCAGATCCCGGAGGGACACCCTGTATATATTAGATTGCCAGTTTTATCAACCCCTCTATTAACTCACTGAGGAATTAATCATCTCACCATTTTTCTCTTTGTGTCAATTTCAGATGGTGTTTAAAATATAGGTACCTATACTAAAAACCTCAGTTATCTCAAGAATTTCATTGATACAGAGAGCAAGTTTTTACAATGCTTTATGAAACATCAAGGGGCAAAATCCACCTGGTATACAGATCACTTCCTGAAAATGTCTAGTAAATTTTGAATTTCTTTTATTTGTCTTGATTTGCCTATACCTCTCTGAAATAAAAACATGCTTGAGTAGTATTAATATATTTTATATTTTTATGCAGTGGGGATTATGCCTGGTAAGTTTTTTCACAACATAAATGTTTAATTTGATGTTGTAAATCATTATTCTGAAACCAAATGTTTTGGGATATGGGTCATTCACTGAATTTACGCCTGATAAAATAAGGAATGAAGATGTTTCTGTATGCAAATGTAAATAGCTAATAAAAGAGGCGATAAATCAAATGAAGTACCATTAGATCAATGTTGCTTTATACACGTTCAACATATGTTTTCATAACATCTGGTTATTATAAATAAAGAAAGGGTGTGGTTACATTAAATTACGTCAGGAAATAGCTATTTCTGGATGTACTGTCAAAGACATTGAGTTCAATTACATCATAAATAATTATACACATAGCATATAGTGCAGTTTCAAGAGGATATGCCATATTCCTAATACATCAAAATAAGAATAACACGATTTACTTTTCATGGACACACCCTTGAATGAGTCATAAAAAAGATTCCTAAATTGAGAATCTGGATAGTATGTGTGAAACTTGGAGTAAAACCATACTGTGGTTGTTTAAAATGATTTATTTCAGTATAAAACAACAATAATATTCCATCCAGTTTTTCTACGTTTCATTCGGATTTCGTGATGTTTAAATATGTATCCAAACTACCATTTCATTTTCAATCATGCGATTTTCTTGCAATGTAAAGGGCTTTTGTGAATAGTCATTAGTATTATATTACAGAATTGAAATGTATGAGATTTTTTGAAATTATTGGTAGGTTGTCATCTTTGAGACCAATTCAGCCGAGAATTGTGCCTATGGGACCAAACATATCTAATCTGAATGATAACAAAAATATCGTCAGCAACTCTGCTAGGAGACTGGAGGTAAGCAAATTAATATGTCTACTTTGCTAGACATTATTTTTGATGAGATGATAAAACGCATTAATTTGAAGTTGAAGATATGACCTATTATTTTTTGAGGGTCGGTTTTTTGCAAATAAAAATCAGTAGAGCAACTTCAATACATCTTGAATTCTTCTTCTTCTGCTTCTTTATTTTATTATTGATTGATTCATTGTCTTTATTACCCCCAAGAAACATGTCTGTTTATAATAGGGACACAGAATTCTGAATCTTGAACCACCCTGTATCTGTTCCGATTGAATATCAGTAAATAGTGAATCAAAAGTTGAGATAGGGACATGTGAGCCGCTTCGACCGATAATGATTAGTTTCGACACTAAAGATCCTAAAGTTGAAAAATCTCGATTTTGAACACCCTATATCTCTGTAATCATTTTCGATAGGCCCCAAGTGTGATGCAACGATAAAATCAGCTCTCCAGGGAGAAAAATACGATAAAATACTGGGTGTTCCATTCGAAATATCAATGTTGCTACTACTTTCCAGTAGAAGCGGCAACACTGCATTGTCGAAAATATTTGTAATGAAGAGAGCGTATTCTAAAATATAAGCTTGCAGATATCCATGGATCTCTTCCGACTGATTCTCAATATAAAGAGGAAATTTATTCTATTCCAAATTGTTTTTTTGTGTCATATAATCTTATTACTATGTTAACATATTGTTAACATATTAGAGACATGAAGTAATCACTGTACGTAGACCTCTACGTAGACGTTAACGTACGAAAAATAACGATTACGTATTGTCGTTAAATTTTGTTGGAGTCGTCATTTTGTTTTCGGTTTGTATTGGTCATTTTTGGTTGTGTGTTTAGATCCGAACATTTATTCCTGTTAAAATTAGCAGAACTCCTTGGGGATCCCGAATTTGATCATTTTGACTCATCGAGTATAGTTTGGTTAACGTACGTTGATATTTAAGGTATACGTGAAAGTACGTGAGATAACATACACCTACCCATAAGCCTACTACCAACGCATACGTGAAAAATTGAAAAATGCGCATTTGTAGCTGTTAATTTATACGTTTACGTTAACGTTCATGGCAACACTTCAATTCTCTATTATTCAAGATTCTTTTAGGTACGTGAGTTGAATAAAATGTATGATCACTTGAAGAATTGTTGTTAATAAATACTTCAAGATTTTTTTCTGAGTTGGTAATGAAGTGATCAAGTAAGTGTTGATATCTTTCTAGGTATACAACAATTTTAGAACAATACTGTTATTACAAATTTTGAAATTGCTAGATTTATAAATTTCTACTAAAACTTTCGACTCATGACTGTTTGATAGTAAATCAACATTCATATCAACAAACAAGAAACATTTACTACAGCTGGCTGCAAACAGGTAGCGGCCAAGTGCGCAACAGCAACAATCACTTTTCAAGTTCTTCACATAAATAGCTGTAAGGTGGAATATATTTCATTTGAAAAACAAATGGATGACTTTTTTTCCAGCAAATCAAGTACTTGCCACATTTCGATAGTAAACTCGGTAAAACTATAGGTAATTTTGCACTTATCATGCGATGGGTTTTTTTTCGAAAAATTTTTTTGGTACTTACGTATTTTTGTCTGAAAAACACGAATTTGATGATGAAAATGTGAACAAACCATTATTTATTGAGATATTTCACTATAAAGTTACAAATTTCACCTTCTTTTTCGCCTGTCTTTGGGGCGCATTTAGAACAATTTGCCCTTCTTTTTCCATCATTGGACAATTTATATATATCACACAATGTTGGACACATATTTTTTATTATATGAGTCAACTAGAAATATGATTTTCTTGTGATTTATCCATGTTTAGTGAAAAGAAGGAAGAATATCATTTGAAATAATGGCGTGTGTGATGTCATTCCAAAGCAATCTATTGACATTTGACATCTCCTATTTGGATTACCCATGGATTAAATGGCGGTCATCTGGTATGCTTGCTCACTAAATAGGAAAAACTCACCATAAAAATCATATTTCGTGTTGAATTTTATATCTTAAAATGTGTCATTGAAGTACATCATGAGTATATGAAGTGTCCAATGACGAAATAAAAAGAGCAAGTACCTGTAAATGCATCCAACACAGGGGGGAAAATAAGGCAAAATTTCGAACTTTTTCTTGAAATATCTCGATAAATAGTGGTTTGTTCACATTTTCAATATCAAATTCGTGTTTTTCAGACAAAAATACGTAAGTAACAAAAAAAATTTTCGAAAAAAAAACCCATCGCATGATAAGTGCAAAATTACCAAACTGGTTTCTCCTGTTCATGAATATATTGTAGAATTAGATTTTTATTGAATACTTGATGAACGTAGTAATCTTGCAGTTGGATCTCAGATTATTACTACAGATATGTTGGGGTATTAAAGACAATCAATCAAGTATATTGAAACAATAGTAGGACAAAAATCTCAAAATATTAGAGAAATAAGATGATAATAACAAAAAATATCACTGTCCGAATTATTAACATTTCATTTATTATTATTATCCATTTATTGAATGTAGTGAAATCTACATCTCGTCATCTCAATTGTTTTTAAGGTTCTCAGAAACTGCATAAACTGCATATTCGAAAACAAAATTTCGGATGCGAGGAAAACCTTCCCGGCAGTCTTGCGTGCCCTTCAATCTAAGCAGGCTCGGTTAGCTCTGTGCCATGAACTGTCGCAACACGTGAGCGGTACCAAAGCCATGCTGGAACATCAGCAGTTCGATCTCGTTGTGAGGTTTGTAATTTCACACAAAATAATTGTATATACTAAATAATACACAAAATCATCTCCACGATAGTTTGCTGTGAAATATTTCAATTAGTCCTATAATAGACACAAAATTACTATAAAGTGGAATCCCTACGATAAGATAGCTTACCTGAAGTTGAAAAAATACTTGTAGTTACATTATAAAAAAATTACATTCATATCAATAATGTTATTTTTTATAATAATGTTCCAATGTAACTACAAGTAAAATGAATATAACACCTCCTCGATTAACCTACAGACAGTATGCAACTACAAGTATTTTTTCACCTTCTTGTGAGCTATCTTATGCTGAGGATTCCACTTTATACTCCTTTTGTGTCTATTGTAGGATTAATTTCTTATAAAGCTGTGCCCTAATGTGATATATTTCACAGTAAACTGTCGAGGTGATGATTTTGTTAATTATTCAGTATTCACTATTGCATTCCACATTTGGAAATTATGTACTTCTACCAAAGATTACGAAATAATAAGCTAAGCAGAAAGAATTCGACCAAATTGTCCATACTACATTATTTTTTATCGAAAATGGTGTATTTTCTTTCTACCAGTAGTTCTGATTCGGAATGATACTCTTTTACAGTACAGAAGACATTTTCCCAATTCAAGTTGTATTTGATCGTCATAAATAAGGAACTGAGGCAAGAACAGTTTTCCGTACCGTGGTTCATGTATTAATTATTCCACCAACTTGCACATATTATTTTCCTGATGAAATGGTATTTTCAAAAATAATTGGCAATCAGTAAGTTCATCATTTCAAAAAGTCACCTCAGAGAAATTTCAATTTTTATTTAATTATCTCTAATTTCAAGATAGTTGTTGTTTGTTTGATTGTGGGGTTTCATTTTGCACTTCTACAAGAGGTGTAGGTATGTGAATTCTTCAACACTTCTTCTCAACATTGACGTGAATTTGGTATCATGTATCTGTTAAGAGTTTTTTTTTTTCAGTTCCAGAAATTAATATAATGTAGTAAGTTATTTTTGACAATATGAAAATAAATAAGCAGTGTCTACTTTTGAATTCTCAGCTCGGCATCATTTCGATGAAGTGGGAACAGTAATTTTTTATCACAGCATCAAGGAATTTGAAAAAATTTTAGGGTTAGGATAACAAATGAATAAAGTAGTTCGGAGTAGAGGTCACTAGCTTACTGAAAATGAGGTCAATAAGGGCGATTATCGCAATTTTGTGTTCAATGAACTGACAATATTATACTTCTCGCCTACTACTAACTACGTTACTGAGCTTGGCTTGGCGATAAAGTGGTTTACCTTTTTGAAGCCCGAGTGACTGAATTCTCCGATATTCCCATTGTATTGTCACGATAAAAGAATTGTTTGTTGTTGAAAATGAATTAATATATTTTACTTAGTTCTTGTATGGGTACAGATGGTTTTAGCATGCCTATCTGTGTGCACTACCAGGAACGCCCCATTTGAAGATTAAACCGAGGCAGTCCAGTTTTAGCATGCTGGACCGTTCGCAAATCCTGGCCAGATGCCCCATATAAAAACCCCTTTTTTATATTCAATACTTAAAATAATAAAAACTTCAATGAACAAAATTATCTAATTGAAAAACAAGAGAACATGAGATTTTGATTGATTGATTGATTTAATAGTTTGCGAGAGGTAATATTCAAATAGGCACTAATAGTTTAGGGGTAACTGAAAGTACGAGACGACATTCAAACATAACAATATTTATTATAGCATGAAACATTATGGGTGAAGTGATGATAAATATGAATAAACAACAATGAATATAAAGACCGAATAACAACTTACATTATGATGACCATTACGACGAGCTCTTGTCAAGTCAAGAGTAGCCCCAGACCAGACTAACTTCGGAACCCTCATATCCAATATTTATATACATCATTTTATTAGATTTGCACGTTTCTCATGAGAGTTCCTTGGTCAGTTTTCATAGTTCAATGTCAATTGATGATTTGAATAATTTTATGTTTATAAAACCCTCATGGTTACAAATTACTAATATACTGTATGTTCTACTCGTGACAGTATCATGAAATGTTTCCTACAGGTTGATGAATTGTGCCCTCCAAGACGATTCTTCGATGGACGAGCATGGCGTAGCTGCGGCGCTACTGCCTCTGGCCACCATTTTTTGCAGGAAACTGTGCACTGGAATCATACAGTTCGCGTACACTTGCATCCAAGAGCATGCCGTTTGGAACAACCAGCAGTTTTGGGAAGCAGCATTCTATCAGGACGTGCAGAGAGATATCAAGGCGCTATATGCTTCAAGGTATTCTTCCAGATTCGTTATTGAAGAGTGTCTATCTTGTGCGTTTTAATCATAGTTGATCAATACTGTGAAAATATCAAGTCTCTTCCATATTTGAATTTGAAAAACTTCACAATCATTAAGGTTTCCACAAAATCCTGTGTAAAATGTATCCTATTGTTTCTTTTCCCTAATGTGATAACGAATACACATTCACCTACAGACTATGAATCATTCAGTATTTCTAAAGGTAATTGAAAGTACACGCTCGGTACTGGAAAGTTCCTACCGACTGTGCCATTTTCTAAATGAAAGCTAGAGTTTTCAACGAACGTAGACAGAACAATAAGTGAAAACTAGGTTCCTATAGATCACACCTAAAATTCAAACAACAAAAATTTGAAGAATAATCGGAGAATCTTTTCGTAATTCGAATTGAATATATTTTTTCGAATGTATGTTCACCAAAACTCCCCAAGTTTCCTACCGACTGTGCCAATTTTACAATAGATCATGAATCAACTGGCTGAATGACGTATTCCGTAATTGAATAAAAGATGCATGTTCACGAGTGCTGGGTAAGAATCCTACCGACTGCGCCAATGTTCAATCCATCTCGACTAGCTTCCTTGTCGAATATATAAGAAGAAAAATAAAATCGCTCAAAGTTGAATTCGTTCCTACAAACATTTTTATTACCAGGGCGGAAAACCTCCAACCAAGACTCAGCACGGAGCTGCTGAGTCCTACATCATCGCGAGACAGCAAAGATTTCGCTTGGCACAGGCGTTCGGCCCTAGGCAGGGCTCAGGAAGCGACAGCTCTAGAAATTGCTGCCGAGCAAATGAGGATATGGAATTCAATTGATCCAGAAAAACAACAGGTTTGTTCATGATCAAGTGAACAATTTAGTTTTGTACAAAATTGTGTTTTTCTAACTGAAATAAAAAAAATCAAGTTATATGATATTTATTAGGAGCTGATCACCTGCGAGGAGAACACAATGTACAGCCAGGCGATACATTTTGCTAATAGGATGGTGTATTTGTTGATTCCTCTAGATACGGGACACAAAGCCAGCAAACATGATCTCTATGATGACGAAAGAGCCAGCAATAGCATTGCCAACAGGTAGGTCACATGTCATTTCAGAAATTTAGCTAGCTTTCTTTGAAATGAAAAATGGAAATTTTATGTTGGTATCACAAAAAACCTGAAGACTAGGACAGAAGGGAAATACATATTTTTGTCTCCATCAACACTAGCTTAACTTCTCTATTGAGTAAACCTAAACGAAAATCAATAATTTTTGCTAAAAATTGATCGCGATTTCTACTGTGGTATCGAGGTATCCGTACATTGTTTTTTTGATGTTTCATTTTTTTGATGTTTTACAGTGTTGCCGAAAGTGACAGCGCTGACGCGGAATCGGGATTCGAAGATCAAGACCCCGGTGAAACTGGAAACATAGTCATTCGCACTGTCACCCGCTTTATCGACAAGGTAAAATTATTTGTTATATCTCGTCTTTACCTTCTTCCAGTATTTAGTGTCCTCCTTCGTCCCACAGAGTTGAGCTGGATAATCAGTGAGGTGAATGAAAAAACTGAAGACTATTATGTGATGAAACAGGCCATGATGTACATACATCATTGGACAATGATTGCCTCCGCGTGGTGGCATTAGGGTAGTTCGGGGTATTTCGTTATCTACATGACATGGAATTCATGAAAATGATATGAATAAGAAGAAGTGAGGTTATGATGTACTTGACTTCTAGACATTCTCGAGGAACCCAACATCTTGATGACGATCATTAATGAAGTATCGTACACAAATTTTCTTTACTGAAAAAATATAAGTGAAGATTGATAACTGACTTGACCTCCAGCATCAACAGTGCCATCTGCTTTGAGCTTTCCAGATTGCCTGCCATGATCCATATCGTTTTAAATATTCAAGGTGTGTTACCTCTAGGGTTGAAAGTCTGTCAAGTTGTACCAATCCGATTACTAAGAGGAACAAAAATATAATGAAATGGAAACTGACAAAATTTCAAGTCATTTTAATCTTACTTCGAAACAGTGGCGCCTTCATCGGGATAATTTGATAGTAAAGTATAAAAGTTAGCTCACCATAGTTTCTTGCAATCATGTGATTAACAAAATATATTGGATCTTCCTTTTTTTTAATTCAGACAACAGAAGAACCCTTTTATCCTTTTAACTATCATGAAACAAAAAGTATAAATAAAAACGGTATTGACGTTTGTTGCGAACAGCCCTTCTACCTCATCAGTGATACTGATGAAATAAAAAAAGGACAATTGAAGAAGATTGAGCGGAACAGATAAATATAAAAAGTTGAAAGGAATATATATAAATTTGGTCATAATCAACTGCATTTCGAAAAAGCTGATTTTCATGAACCTCAGCTTTTTCGAAAGTCTTGATGTTTGGTTTTCTAATGACGATTGAAGGAAGTTTCAGATCCATGGCGATTTGATTATTCCGAACATACCAGGGAGATTCTGTCACCATTCTCTTGATTTTGTTTTGCAATGTTTGAATTCTGGTGATATCAGATTTAGCCAGACTACCGAGGCATACAGTAAAATTGGCCAGATAGCCATTATGTAAATATTCAATTTTTGTCTCAAACCCAATTTATTTCATATGTTGAAAAATGGATACAGTGCTCCAATGGCTCGTTTGGCTTTTGAAACTTGCTGTTCAATGTGCTGGGCCCAGGTGAGCTTTCTATCAATGCACACACCTAAGTATTAAACTTTTTATTTTTTTTTATTTGAATATTTTGATAACAAGATCCATAATGAGTAATAAACTTGGAAATGTAGACCATAGTGTAATGGTTCCACTTTACACCCTGTGTAAGTTTTCTTCTGCGGACTTTTTCAGAGTTTTTTAGCTCTCTTTGAAGCCGATGAAACATCACATCTGATATCGAAAACCGCATGAAGATCGGTCAATTTTTTCAAAAAATGCAGGTCTTCGAAATTGAGTCAAATTATTCGTGGTCCCTTTAGTGTGTTGAGAACTGTATATAAAATGATGACGTCACTATTATGCGAACCCGAATCTTGGGTTGTAGGTGTGCAACGAAGGTGGTGTAACCAGGGACCACATAAGGAATCTTCATCAGATGATCCCGGGGGTGGTGCATATGCATATCGAGACTCTGGAGGCGGTTTACAGGGAGTCGAGGCGACTGCCGCCCATACAGAAGCCCAAGATTCTGACGCCCAACATGCTGGTCGGAGAAGAGACCATAATGGAAGGTAAGGAAGGAAATTATAAATGATCTTCATCGGCGTTTGGTGATTGTTTGAATACATAGGTATGAGACGAAGGTGTGGCTTCTCCTTCTTTCTCAGTGATGAAAAATGGTGGAGGTTAGCAGAATATTCTGAAAATAACTAAAAGGCGAATTCCTGAAGAAAGTCTTGGGCTAATACTGAACTGATGATTAATAATAATCTTCGAAGAAATTTACTATTATAACAGACTTTGATGCGTCTGTTTCAATTTTTTTCAGGATTGAGAGTCTATTTGCTTCCTGATGGAAGAGAAGAAAGTGCTGCAGGGCTTTTAGGAGGTCCCCCACTCTTGCCAGCAGAGGGAGCCATATTCCTCACCAACTATAGGATAATTTTCAAAGGAATACCTTGCGATTCTTTCGGTAAATATTACAAAATGAATTCTGGAAAAACTCAAAAGATAGTGGTCAATCGATTATCATAATCAGATAAGTTTGACACTCATGATTATATTTTAAAAAAAAATCATTCCAGACAATACAGGGATGTTTCAGCAAGTCAACGAGTTTGAATTTTTGAAGAAAGTGTAGTGAATGTAATAAACTTCACGAGTAAAAAGATTTTCATAATATTCTACGTGTTCTGCTAACAAATTAGCTTCTTTAAGTAAAATTATAGTCCTACAACAAATAGGATAAAAAATACCTAAATGCAGGCCAGTTGATCCTTCATACCAAAAAGTATGCACAATGTCTACATTAAAATTTTGTGTGACGGTTCATCTTGAGAACAATGATGCCAGTTAATATTACCTACCAAGGAAATAAATTCAAAGGTGGAGAATTTTGATGTATCGTTAAGTAAACTGTTGGAATTTTTATTCATTTTGAGGCAATCCAATAGACAAACTAATCACACTTGAATAATTTCTTATTTTACTAAATTGGTCGTGGATAAACAAAATGTATGCCAAACTACAACCGTTATCCAAAGAGTATTATTTGAAATTCTGATTTTTCAATTATTATAATTCAGAAAGAATAATATGTAATTCAGAAAGCATCACTCTAATTCAGTAACTAGGAATAACTCGTATATTTGTTTGGATCCATATTTTGCATTTGAAACAAGATGGATGGAAAATGGAATACCTATCATGTGAAAGGAAATCTTCATGTTACACAAGTTGATGGTCCTGGGGAACAACAATTTGTGTTTCTTGAGCAGAATATTAGTCCCCGGTACTTTGTGAATTACAATTAAACAGAATATTAGTCTCAATCTCCAGATCAAAAATAAAGTATTGAAAAGAATTACACAAATAAAGTATCTTGGTATGTGGATTGATGAAAAGTTGAAATGGGACAAGTATATAGAGGTTCTGATACAAAAAATATCTCCAATCATTGGAGCTTTGCGAAGATGTCCTAAACTTTACGAAAAAGTCATAAACATAGTATTTCATTCTCATATTCTCAGTCGTATTACCTATATGATAAACGTTTGGGGATCTTGTTCCAAAAATTATTTCAGTAAAATATCTGCACTTTATAAGGAATCACTGAAAGTATTGTATCGCCTCTCATTTGATATCCCAACAAATGATCTGTATGCGATAGCAGAAAAATATATGAAATAGATTCTCTTAATAAACAATAATCTGAATTCCAATTTTGTTTTGGAAGGAATTCATGGTCATCACACGAGACAATTAATTTTATTTCATCTTGATTCTGCTACTTCTATAATTGGCCAAAAAAAAATTTACTCACGCTGCTCTAGCTGAATTCAATAAATTACCACATAATATAATTGAATTGAAAAAAAACATGATTTTATTTCAAAATGTATAAAATTGATACTTTGCCATCTACTGATTAGTCCCTGTGGCAATTTTTATGACTTAATCGATTTAGCATTTTTAGATTTTCTTAATAATAATGAGAAATCATTCACTCAGGTTTGATTTTCTCTTTGCAAGAGGATATGTTTCTTGACTTTAATTTTGTATTGGGTGATATTTGGGCAACTTTTGATATCATTAGGTAATTTATTGAAATTTGAGATAGCTCCGTGAGTGAACTTTTTTTGGCCAAGCGTAGAATAAGCAGCATCAAGATGAAACAAGTCATATTGTCTCGTATGATGTTCATGGATTTGAGAATTCCTTACCAATATGAAGTTAGATTTGAGGTGTTTGTTGATGATATCAAAAGAAATTTTGAGAGTATTTATCAGATAGTGCTCTTTCAAAGAAAATGTATTTGTTTCTTCATAAAGTTGATTTGATGGGGTGTCATATGCAAGACGATACAGTACTTTTAATGCTTTTTCATATAGTACAGATATTTTTTTGAAATTATTCTTGGAACATGAACCCCAAATATCTATGAGATACTTCATTTTACTAAGGATGTGAGAGTATAGAACGGTATTTGCTATATTTGGGATAAGTTTTGGACGTCTTCTTAAGGCACCAACTATGGGGGAAATTTTTTCTTTGATCCTGGATACTTTCCGAATTACAAATAAGTATTCTGAAATACAAGTTTTACTCTCTGAATTCCATTTGCCTAATCTGAATTACAAGTTACACTTCCTGAATCACAATTGAAAAAGGTGTATTCCCTCAGCCTGCGAGCAAGTCGTAGTGCGCTCATTCCCCGTCACCTCCCTCACCAAAGAAAAGAAGGTGGCTGTGCAGTACCTCGCCCACCTCGACCGCTGGCTGCAGGAGGGGCTGCAGCTGCGCTCGTGCACCTTCCAGCTGATGAAGCTGGCCTTCGACGAGGAGGTGACGGCCGAGAACGTCGACACGCTGCGCAAGCTCGTCCACAAAGTCAGGCATCCGCCCGACGTCTTTCATCGGTTCGCGTTCGCCGGTCAGGTGATGGTCAGCCAAACGCCCTCGCATAAGGTAACGATAGAAATAATTTCGCTTCATAGACCTAACGATACTAATGATAATAAAAATCAAGTTGATTCAAAATGTTGACATAATATAAATTAAAAGTATACATATTGGTATTGAATAAACAAAGGAAACCTCACGAAGTTGTAAGTACATAAAAAGTTCACTCACGGAGCTAAAACTGCTAAAACAGCTTATTTTGCTCTTATTGAATCTCACCTAACCTACGGCATTGCTTTCTGGGGAGTGTGCAACAAACAACTGTTACATATGGTGCAAGTTGTACAAAAAAGAGCCATTAGGGCTCTTTGTAAAGTAAAAACGCGTATTTCTTGCCGCGACCTTTTCAAAAATAATAGAATCCTCACTGTTACTTCAATTTTCATCTTAGAAACCACTTGCTTAATACACAAGAATCGTCACAAATATGATATAGTGTGGTCTAACCATAATACGCGATCATCGCACGAATTGAGATTACCTCTACCACTACCTAACAACAATCTTGTTAAGGAATCTTTCATTTATAATGGACTAAAAATTTATAATTGCTTACCAATACATCTACGAGAAATTCAATCATGTAGATTGTTTAAAATAAAATGAAAAGAATTGCTATCCACTCATCCTTTTTACAACGTGGAGGAATTTTTTTAGTAGTGAACCCTTATGTTAGCATTAAAATACGCTTGCCTCTATATTTTAGGATTGATTTCATATGTTTGCATCCTGTGGCTTCATCTGCACATTTGATTATATTATGTCTGTATTTGTACCATAACGTTCTTGATGTTTTTAATGTTTCAATTTGTTCAATGTTTCTAATATTTTCAATATTTTTAATATTTTTAACATTCTTAATATTTTACTTTGTAATACCTATACAATGACTTTGTCGATAAGAACTATTTCTTCTGACAATAAAGCATATTTGATGATGATGATGATGATGAAAAGTTGCAGGAATATCACCCAATTCAAAATTAAAGTCAAGAAACATATCGTCTTGCAAAGAAAAAATCAAACCTGTGTGAATGATTTCTCATTCAATAATTTATTTCATCATGTCATAATGTATTTTTCATTAGCTTTTTTTGTCTTATTATTATTTTCGAATCTGTTGTTTATTTCAATAATTTAGATTTAATAACACATGAATAATCTCATACCAGATATGAATCTGTGTGATTATTCATGATATTTCATTGTAAATGTTAATGAAATATATTTACATTTATATGAGATGCAGTGTAATGTTTATAGCAAAGAATGAAATAAATAAATATTATCATTATTATCAAGACAGTAAAAGGTCAATTAAACATAAATGGTACAAATCAGACATCAATGAAGTTTTTCTTTTGTGATTTAGTGAGTATACCTTTATTCACAAATTCCACATATTCTTTGATGGAATGGAAAGGAATTTTCGAGCAGAATTACTCAAATTTCTGACTTCTGCAGGAAGAATAATTTAATGGTTTTTTTTCGAGATTTTGTATTCCTATATGTCATAATTATGTATATCTGATTGTGTATTCATGGAAGAAAAATTATTTTTGTAGGAAATTTCCTCAAGTTGAAAATATAAAATCTTTCAATTAAATGTTTTCATGAAATATACAATCATATAGAGGTTCTGATACAAAAAATATCTCCGATCATTGGAGCTTTGCGAAGATGTCCTAAACTTGACAAAAAAGTCATAAACATGGTACTTCATTCTCATATACTCAGTCGTATTACCTATATGATAAACGTTTGGGGATCTTGTTCAAAAAATTATTTCAGTAAAATATCTGCACTTTATAAGAAAGCACTGAAAGTATTGTATCGCCTCTCATTTGATATCCCAACAAATGATCTGTATGCCATAACAGAAAAATTTTCATTGGATGAATTATATAAAATAGATTTTCTTAAAGTTTCATATAATATAATAAACAATAATCTGAAATCCAATTTTATTTTGATAAGAAACTCAGAAATTCATGGTCATCACACGAGACAATCAAACTTATTTCATCTTGATTCTGCTACTTCTATAATTGGCCAAAAAAAAATTTACTCACGCTGCTCTAGCTGAATTTAATAAATTACCACATAATATAAAAAATTGCAGAAATATTTCAAAATTTAAAGTTGAATTAAAAAAACACATGATTCCATTACGAATAGATAACATTTATACTTCGCCATCTACTGATTAGTCCCTGTGGCTATTTTTATGACTTGATCGATAGCATTTTTAGATTTTTTTGATTTTTTTGTTGTTGTTGTCACCTTATATTATTTTATTATTGTTGTTTGTTATCAACTTCCTCATACCAGAATTTTATTTCTGACTGGAAGCTAGTTTTTGAATAAACAATAAACAATAAATATATAGTTCCCATTCATTGTAGAATAAGGAGAAAAATGCAACACTGAGAGGCTTCGCCAAGAAGACGTTGCTGAAAACGGCGAGAAAAGCTGGATTCAAACAGAAGTCATCATCAAAAAGACAAAAATATGTCTTGCCCAATATGAGCACCAACAACTCGAATAAGTACATGACTTCTCCGGGTAGGATGAGTCTACCATTAACAGACGATTACAGTCACGACGATGAAATATCCATAGATGATTTCGAGACAGGTGAGTGTGTTGAATTTGTGTGTCCTATGATAGAAATTATTGCGACATACATTGGCCACACAAGTTTTCCAACGAATTATAAATGTGAGAATTGATATGATATAATAATTGATGATTTCCATTCTACCTGTAATATCTTTAGTCCCACACTGTGGATGTGCCGAAAGTAGTCACCAACTATCTTATTTTGAATAGAAACCTAATTTTTTTCACATGGTTCCACTGGACTTCTAAATCTGAATTTGGACAACTTAATTTATGTCAACTTACCTATCACAATTCTGAAGATATGTCTGAGAATAATGAAACAAATAGGTGATCTCGGAATCTGCTCGTGTCCATCTATCTGCAAGTTGCTGAACTATCTAGGAATTACTTGAAGGAAGAAACCCACTTACTTTGATATTCTGTAGGCTTCTAAATAATAAAATTCATAAATCATCTAAAAATATACTTCCAATATATTCTGTATTACTTACCAATCTCTAGTATCTCTACCCTTTCCTTACTTAACAAAAAGTAATTCACATTGTCGCTCGTAAATACCTACATCTACTGAATAAAATTTCCGGCTTCATTGCTCTTATAAGGATGGTTCATCTTGTTACTGTAAATAATCAAGTATCGCTGTTTAAGTTGAGCTCCGTCTGAACACTCCAATAGATATTAACCGATCGATATGAGACCCCGGTACGGGACATCCCTGATCACTGAGGGTGAAATTTCCGGCTTCATTGCTCTTATAAGGATGGTTCATCTTGTTACTGTAAATAATCAAGTATCGCTGTTTAAGTTGAGCTCCGTCTGAACACTCCAATAGATATTAACCGATCGATATGAGACCCCGGTACGGGACATCCCTGATCACTGAGGGTGACTAGGAACAGCCTTAACCGCTGCCACCTCCCCCGTTGCAACGCAACGGTCCTCATATACAAGAAGCCTCTTGGGGCATGTGACTCTAAGAGTTGGTCGTTTGGGGAGTGAAATTTTGAGAATACCGAATCAGGGACTGACGTCTGGAATCTGATGTTCAGTGGAGTTCACGTGGCTGTTGGTTTTTTGTTGGGAATAGGAATCATAAAGATATTGTGTGGTGAGCCTACCTCTCAAAGAGTTGATACTCTCTCCTCATAAAGGTACATGAAGGTGACTATCGAAATTCTTTCTATAATACATCGCCTTCAATAGCAAATAAAAAATGTGGATGAAATATTCATAATGATCTGAATATAATATGAAACAGGAATGTGATCTTCATCACCGGTCGTTGGTTTCTGGTCTTTTTTTTTATTTTCATGTTTCCCAGGAAAAGGGATATCCTGTAATGTTCAGAAAACATCGTGAAAACCAAGGGAAATAAGGTAGGAGTTGGTGTTTATCTGAAATTTCTGGAGTTTATATGCCTCGGGGAACACCTCCCTTAGTAATGTGTTCCAGAGCCTCGCTGTTCGTTGGATGAACGAGTCTTTGGAAAGAGATGTTCTGCACGTCTCCAAAGTGACCACGAAGGGGTGCGAAGCCTCAACTCGACGGGCTAATCTCGCGGGGACTGCCAGGGAGGTACAATTGTTGATATTTCAGAAGAGCATCGTACATGAAAATATCTATAAAATAGAGCCATATCGCAAAGTTTTCTACGGTGTTCCAGAGAAGTGAGTGAGTTTGTGAGTGAGGCATCACCCACGAGACGAATTGCCCGTTTTTGGACAGAATCCAACAGTTTCAGGGTATGTTTGGGTGCCGCACTCCAAATATGAGAACAGTATTCCAGGACAGGTCGGATCTGTGCCTTATAGATCATAAGCAGCTGACTGGAAGAAAATAGCTCCTGGCCCGAAACAGAAAACCAAGTTTTTGGGATGCACTTTTAGCAATTGATCTCACGTGATTTTCCCAAGAAAGGTTATTGCTGATAGTAATACCAAGCATCAAAATGGATGTCTTCAAAGATATGCGGTTACTCTTGAAATGCTTATGTTGGGCACAGTGAGATCGGCTTTTCTAGAGAAAAGGCATGCTTGTGTTTTGTTTGCATTGAAATCTACCAAGTAATTGGATCCCTATTCGAGAATTGTTGCCAAGTTCATATTCATGTTGTCAACGATTCTCCCTCGTTCGTTTCTGATTTGCCTAGCTGGCATTGGAGCCCTGAAAGAGAACGAGGTATGGAGGGTACTATCATCCGCGAAGCTGTGTACTGGACATGACGCTGCTTCCAAAATATTGTTGATATGGAGTAGAAATAGTATTGGTGCTAGAATTGATCCTTGCGGAACACCAGCATTTATGGTAATAAAGTCAGATGAAACTCCGTTGGCCACATGGAGAGACCTGTTCGAGAGAAATCTAGCTAGCAGAGAACATAGCTGGGGAGGCAAGCCATAAGATGGAAGCTTGGCGAGAAGTCCGTGGTGCCAGACTCGATCGAATGCTTTGGAGATATCAAGTGCCACGGCTAAGGTTTCACCATATTTTCCAATAGTTTGGTGCCATATATGTGAGACGTAAGCGAGCAGGTCACCAGTTGATCTCTGATGACGGAAGGCATTTTGTCTATCGTTGATAATACCTGAATGTTCCAGGTATTTCATGAGCTCGATGTTGATAGCTTTCTCCATGATCTTTGAAATAATAGATTGCATTGCGATCGGTCTGTAGTTGCTAGGTAGGGTCTTTTTGCCTTTTTTAGGAACTGGTTGTACTCTTGCAATTTTCCAGTTGGACGGGAATATTCTCAATTTGTAAGAGTATTTGAACAACTTGCAGAGAACAGGTGTTAGTTCTCGAGCACATTTCTTGAGAACAATTGGTGGGATTCCGTTGGTTTCTCGTCTGGTTTCCACTTCTGTTCTATTTCTCTGTTGGGCTCAAATGGCCGATCTATATCACGTTGCCTCTTCGATCTAAAACAAAGTTGTATTGAATATCAAATTTCAAATAAATTGGTATTAATTTAATGTGAATTACTTGGAAAGAGGAAATAAAATATTATACGAAAACTGTTTTCAAATTCCGTTGCTGAAATGCGACATATTCTTTTACTACTCAAAAAATAGCCGTAACATCATCATCATCGGTCGTTGGTTTCTGGTCTGGTTTCCTCTTTTGTGCAATATTTCCGTCGATAAATAACACGTCGCTTCGTCGATCTAGAACATAGTTGGTATCAATATCTCGAATTCAAAATATATTGAGATTTGAACTCTCCTCTTTTGTGCAATTTTTCCGTCGATCAATAACACTTCGCTTCGCTGATCTAAAACATAGTTGGTATTAATATCTCGAATTCAAAATGTATTGATATTTGAAATCATGCAAGTGTTACATGGAATAAGAAACTGAAATATTGATGAAAACTCTTTCAAATTCCGTTGCTGAAACGCGACATATTCTTCTGATGCTCAAAAAATGAGCGGAACAGATAGCCAACAATTTTCTCCTAAATGAGAAACACTGTATATACCTAACCCATCAGGCGTCCACCCCGGTTGCAACGAGGGTTTACCGATGCCAAGGGTTGATACTCTCCCCTCGTAAGGGTACCTGTCGTATCTCCATTGAGACATAAAGGTGACTATCGAAAATTACTTCATAATATATCGCCTTCCATAACAAATAAAAAATTTGGAATAAATATTCAGAATGAACTGATTATAATATGAAACAGAAATTTGATACTCATCACCGGTCGTTGGTTTCTGTTCTGGTTTCTACTTCTGTTCTATTTCTTTGTTGGGCTCAAATGGCCGATTTATATCATGTTGCCTCTTCGATCTAAAACAAAGTTGTATTGAATATCATATTTCAAATAAATTGGTATTAATTTAATGTAAATTACTTGGAAAGAGAAAATAAAATATTATACGAAAACTGTTTTCAAATTCCGTTGCTGAAATGCGACATATTCTTTTATTACTCAAAAAATGGCCGTAACATCATCATCATCGGTCGTTGGTTTCTGGTGTGGTTTCCTCTTTTGTGCAATTTTTCCGTCGATAAATAACACGTCGCTTCCTCGATCTAGAACATAGTTGGTATCAATATCTCGAATTCAAAATATATTGAGATTTGAACTCTCCTCTCTTGTGCAATTTTTCCGTCGATCAATAACACTTCGCTTCGTTGATCTAAAACATAGTTGGTATTAATATCTCGAATTCAAAATGTATTGATATTTGAAATCATGCAAGTTACATGGAATAAGAAACTGAAATATTGATGAAAACTCTTTCAAATTCCGTTGCTGAAACGCGACATATTCTTCTGATGCTCAAAAAATGAGCGGAACAGATAGCCAACAATTTTCTCCTAAATGAGAAACACTGTATATACCTAACCCATCAGGCGTCCACCCCGGTTGCAACGAGGGTTTACCGACGCCAAGGGTTGATACTCTCCCCTCGTAAGGGTACCTGTCGTATCTCCATTGAGACATAAAGGTGACTATCGAAAATATCTTCATAATATATCGCTTTTCATAACAAATAAAAAATTTTGAATAAATATTCAGAATGAACTGATTATAATATGAAACAGAAATTTGATACTCATCACCGGTCGTTGGTTTCTGGTCTGGTTTCCACTTCTGTTCTATTTCTCCGTTGGGCTCAAATGGCCGATCTATATCACGTTGCCTCTTCGATCTAAAACAAAGTTGTATCGAACATCAAATTTCAAATTAATTGGTATTAATTTAATGTAAATTACTTGGAAAGAGAAAATAAAATATTATACGAGAACTGTTTTCAAATTCCGTTGCTGAAATGCGACATATTCTTTTATTACTCAAAAAATGGCCGTAACATCATCATCATCGGTCGTTGGTTTCTGGTGTGGTTTCCTCTTTTGTGCAATTTTTCCGTCGATAAATAACACGTCGCTTCGTCGATCTAGAACATAGTTGGTATCAATATTTCGAATCCAAAATATATTGAGATTTGAACTCTCCTCTTTTGTGCAATTTTTCCGTCGATCAATAACACTTCGCTTCTTTGATC